CTTAATTTTAAATTGGACCACCGCATTATCCTGTCCAAGTACTTTCAGATTGATGTGCTCGGTTTCGCCTCCCTTCTTTTCGTCAGACATGTTTTTTTTTTTTTTTCGCTATGTACGCGCTTGACGATATTCACAAATGTAAAATGCAATGATGCCGGGCGTGCGTGCTGAACAAAAATGTAAAGAATCCGCAGAAATTAATAAGAATTCACCGTTTATTATTTATTTACTGATTTGCACTATTAAATTGCGTTTGCAAATAGAAAATTTTCTTACTTTTGAATACGTTTCACCACTCGCTTCCTTCTTTTAAGATTACCAAGCGGCTTGCGCTAGCTACACACACGCCAAAAAATGGTTGTATTTTGAGTGTCTCCCTATTCGCACGGCGAAAAAATTATCAGCAAGATAATGTACTAAAAATTACCACGACGCCGACAGGCAGGGTTGCACGTCCCTGTAGAACCAATTTAATTGCAAGAAAAATAATTGGTTGGAGACAGATTCTTTACTTTAATAAGTTGGCACGCAATTATAAGTAAATATTTTTATATTGATTTAATATGATTGTAATTAATTCGCCTTTTCAATGCCTACTTTATAAGGGACACAAAATCTATCTGCAAATATGTATTTGAATAATCGTTATCGGAAATAATACGGCATGATGATAATTGATGGAGTAGGCCTGATACGAAAAAGCTGAGTTAGCAAAAATTCTGTAAGAACACAATATTCATTAGGATAAATGCCTACTTTGAGATATTAAAATTGCTTTCATAGTCAGGCTTATCGCAAAAATCAGCCAAGCCTGCTGGCTATCGATAGCGATAACATGCCAATTGTCGTTTTATCATGGCATCGTATCGATAAAACCTAAACAAATTGGCGCGCTATTCAATTTTAAATCATGAGCACGTGCCTTTTACATTTTAAGCCCAATCAAAATCCATACTATAAAAATTCAACATTATTCTTATGACCTTTTCAAGTTCAATTTTCTAAGGTAGGGTATTCAGCAAAGTTTAAATATTTGTGTTTTACACAAGGAAAAAAAAACAAATTTGTTTTCAAATTGGTTTGCTTTTATAAAATACTTTATTTTTGCAAGTATTCAGTAATAGCACATCTGTCGAACAACAAAAATACAAATGCAAATTCAAATAGGTCGCACAATTGCTTTGCTTAAAACCAGAAACTTTAAGAAATAAGTGTTTTCTGAAATTCAGTTTTCTGATAAATATAATTGAAACAAAGCTTATGTTGGACCTGTCTGAATTTTAAATATTTACAGAAACTATTTTCGGAAATGCCATAGCTTCGAAATTGTTATTCCACAGTTTGACATGCCTCCATTTAATTTGGCAGATATTTGATATTCGTGAATTTTTCGCCCCATCCCATTCGTTTTATAAAGCATTACTTTAACACTTTAATTGAACCTTATTGACAGACCCTTACCAGTTATAGGCGCCAAACGAAAACGACCAATAACAAACCTGAGCGCTGTTTCGAAATATATATTCCGTGGTGTGGTCCTCTTGTACAGGTGCCACACAAACAATGACCAAACGTACTTGAAAAGATCGAGATCGAAAATTGATTACTACGATATCAACTTGATATATAAGTACCATACATAACCATGTCAAAGGGCATACCTCAGCCCATCAAGATCAAAGAATATCCAACATTGTGTGCATTCTGAATAAACGCTTTTTTTTTTGTTTTTCAGTAATTGACCAACTCATTTGGTCAGAAATCTTACCAACAACCAGCTCGCAACAACTTACAATCGTCAGATATTTCGAAAAAGTGGCCCGATTAGAACTTACTCGAAGACCCAGGTTTGGATAGAGCTATTGTACACCAATTGAATAAGCTGAGCTGGCGTCCCAGGGAGCCACCACGTTTCTAGTGTTGGCCTAGAACGGTAAACGCATTGGATTAGTGAGATTTGTGTAGAGAAGAAATTACCTGATTTCATAAGTTACTAATGGGTCAAAAGTTTTGAGTACTTTTTGGGGAATCGTTATGGTTTTTCGAACTAATTAGTATTATTATGTTTTTGTTGTTGTTGAAATACTTATGATCTGTTTTCACACACTCTGGGCGTATATTCATATATACAGATTTTCAGATTTTCAATATTGAAAACTGCAAAAAGATAAAGAAAACAAAATGGCACGAGTTAGCGCACATATTTAAAATTTGTTTTTTGTTTTGTTTTTGGGGTTTTTGTTTTTTTTTTTTTTCTAACACTTTAAATGTAATAATTGTACACATAGTTTCGTTGAAACAAACCAATCAGTACTCGGAATCCGGATAGTCATACATATATACCAAAGCATTCCCTTATACCCCCTTACCAAAGGTGGGGAAACAAACACATGTTGATCTGATTTATTTTTACTTACTCTTCATTTCAATTGTTAAGATTTACTTACATATTTAAACGTATTTAAGCTATGCACAATTATTATTTTTTTTTTGTTGATTTACGTTTTTGTGTTTGTTTTGTTTTGTTCTGTTTAGTTATTACTTTGTTTTTTTTTTACTTGTTTTGCTTTCATGATAAATTTAAATAAATCGAATTTGAAAAGTGCTCTCCCAGCTTAAATCGGACTTACAGCATGTCTTACGCTTCGTTGTTTCCGAACTGCATCGTCCCACTGTTTCGCTGATTCGCTATGAATTTCAAATTTCAATTGAATAAATATTTAAAAACAATCGATACATTCGATCGTGCTAAATGATGGCGGTTACAGTTCTAATCGTAGTGTTACCAGCGCAGGATAATTACACAAAAACTCTGAAAATTGTTATCGTACTCGATTACCAATTGTTGTTGTTGCTGTTGGTGTTGGTGTTGTTGTTGCATCGATGACAGACTCCCACTACTGCCGCCACCAGGTTGGATCGCTGCTGGCATTTTGTCCACCATTGTCTGGATTGTTGCTGCGTGGAAGTATCGGCGGTGGGGGCACACTGAACATATTGTGATGTGCAGCGGGCGGCCGATACTTCTCCTCGTTCTCATCGTCCATTTCGCGTTTGATTGCCGTGTTTTGATAGTCATTCATGGAAAACGTTGGATAGCCATCATCAATGGGCTCCTCCTTAATCTTAATCATATCCATTTCGCGGAAGTCTGGTTTGCGTTCCTTGACATCGCGATCACCGCCGCCAGCACTGCGATCTGCACCTCCACGATCGCGATCCCGACGCTCACGTTTGCGATCGCGCCTTTCACGCGATGAGTCACGCTCTCGTGACTTGGAACGCTTCTTTTTCTTTTCACGCTCGCGATCACGATCACGCTCCCTGTCCCGCCTGTCCCGTCGTCCATCAAAATCATCATAGTCGCGGTCCCTGCTGCCGGCACGACGTTTTCGGCGTTCACGCGAACGGCTGCGCGAGCGACCGACACGTGCGCCGCGTTCCCGATCGCGATCCCTGCGATCTCGGGAGCGCGAGCGACGCCTCTCACCGGCCACGACACCGCCGTAAGCAGCGCGCCCCCCACGCGCATCGACACCATTGTTGGCTCCACCGCGTACACCACCCTCGCGATCCTCACGCTCACGCTCCAAACGATAGCGTTCACGCTCACGTTCATTGTCCTCGCGGCCAGAGTGCTTGATATTCACATCGTTGCCACCACGCCGTGTGCCGCCCAAGCCGCCACCCAGGCGCCGGGGCAGCCATCCCTTGACGGTCCGAGCGCGTTCAACATCCACCAGGACGCGCTTGCTGTCTATCTTCTTACCATCGGCGTGCTTGTACGCCGCGTGCATATCTCGCTCATGCTCATACTCAATAAAGGCGTAGCCCTTGGGTTTACCTGTAAAATAAAACATGGGTAATTATGCAAGAGAACAACAATATTCCTTCAATCTAAAAATTAAGTAATATGTACGTTGAACAAATTAGTAAACACAATTTACCTGAGTCCTGGTCGTGAATGAGCACGATCTTTTTGATGGGGCCGTAGAACTCGAACTCGCGCCTCAATTTGGACTCGGAGGTGTCGTAGTTGATGCGCGCTATGAACAATGTACGGAATGGATCCTCTGTGGCGTTCTTAATCTCGGTTGGATCCCATAGTGCAATTTCGCGTTCTAGCTTATAGGCCACTTGTTCGGCTTTTTCGCGCCGCCTTCGCTCGAGTCGCTCCTGGCGCGTTTCTACAGTTTTGGGCAGCGGTGTGTCCTTTGGGTCTTCGAAGTCGCTCATAAATTTGGCTACGCCCAGGTAGCCTCGAGATTTTTTTTCATGAGGCAACTTATCCACCGGAGGCATAAACGGTATTGGGTCCCGTGAGGCGAATAACGCCAAAAGATTTGGCGGCAGATATTGGGTCATTTTGTTTAAATATTTATTACCTTTGTCTCCTTAGTTCCGTCAAATTTGATGCTAGACATTTAAAATTGAGGTTAGGTTAAGCTTGTTTACGACAGTAAAAGATTTGAGCGTTTCACTAACCTTATAAATCCATCCAGTACGCGTTATTGCTTCTATTGCTGGTATTAAAATCAACTCAAATTACTATTTTTGTGGCTGCTCAATCGATTTATCTCAATAAATATTTCCAGACGAAAAAGAATCTTTTTTCTTGTAGCGTAGCTACACGGCTACTAATGATGGCATTATGCTAGAGATGAGCGTGTAATTGGTATCGCAGTGATAGTCACATTTAAATTTCAATGGCAATATATGTTACAACTCAACTAAATTACTTAGCTTATATAAGTGATATTTAAGATATTCTGTATATTTTAAATATGTTTGTAAAGTGATACAAACAAATACATAGTTAAATCATTTTAACGTTTGCGCTAGTCACTTTGGTTACATCGCATAAATATCACCCTATTACGAGGGTTGTTAAATTACATGATACTTGTGTTATCGATAGTTGGATAAGCGCAATGAAAAGTTGTGAACTTGCTTACATGGTTTTCTATTGGTTCAATAAATGAGTTCAATTCACCCACACATGCACAACACACATTTGCATCCATGAGCAGGCGCACGATTGAAAAGACAAAATAACGGCATCTACGAACTCGCCATAAACGTGATTTCATTTTGCAATATATAAAGTTACACTTTGCATTAAAATTTTAAAGTGCTTGTTTTTTTTTTTAACCAATAAAAATAATTAAATTATTGTAAGTACAACCAAGGTATACGAATAACACATGCAAATTATTATTCGCAACCTAACAGAAAATGTCGACTAGTGCAAAGCAAATGCTCGAAGCAGAAGTGATCAAAGAAGAAAATGGCGCTGGCGCTTTAGAACCAAAGCAATCACCAAAGGAGCAACGCAAAAGCAAGCGAAAACATTACCTTTCAATGGATAATGAAGGTGCTGACCGTGCAGATGCTGATTTCGATGCCCAACAAGTGCTAACACCTGTTGAGAAAGCGAAATTCGCAATGCCTCCACCGCCGCCACCATCCACACCAGTTCAAACTCCACAGCCAACGTCGGCGGCAATCGCCGCAGCGCCCGACACTGAGGATGACGAGGCGAATTCGGAAAAATGGGAAGATCCTTGTGCGCCACCACCGCCGCCCCCATTGCCCAACAATGCATTGGCAACTGGTCAGGGCTATGCCAAACTGACCGCCATTAAGTTAAAAGACGCTCTGGAGGAGGCCATTACAAAAATGGAGATCCACAAGCGAGAGCAGCACCGGGCGAATTTCGATGTGAGTTAAAAAAAAAAAACACAGCTGCTTCACTTTACAGTTATGTGCCTACAGTGGGCTTTCGCTAAAATAGGCGGAATAACATATTCAAAAGGGTTGCAAAAAAATGAGGAAAAAACTAGTTTTTTTATACAAAAGAATTTCCTATTTAGAGCTTTTAGGGTGAAAATTTGGATTTCTGTATAGGAATAGTTCAAATCTTGACTACAAAATGGAAGAAGTTTTTTTTTTTTTTTGGGTTTCATTTAAAGTTTAAAAGTCTACTTCAACTTATAGAAAAAACACCTTGTCGGATTCAAGTTCGACAAAAATAGCATGCCATTTTTTTAAAGTTAATTATTTTTTTTTTTTTAACTTTTCATATACTGAGAAAGTAATCAAAATTTATTAAGTGTGTTGAATTTTATTTTGCTAACTACCTACAATAGTCAATGTTCTCTGATTGGGCTGCAAAAACAGCATACCGACCGCATACTGTACATTTGTTTGACATTATAAATTATTGTTTTGGAAATGACATTGAAATTTACGTGTTTGACTTTTCGCTAATACATTCTTGTGGAAAAATTTCGCTAGTATCGATAATTTGTGCTTTTTCTTTTGTTTATTTTGCTACACTTACACTCCAATTACATTATCATTGTCATTGTTTTGGCCAACAGTCCGTACCAAATATGTTGGATGAATTGAAAACCGATGCTGTCCAAATGTCGCCTACATGTTCAGTTAAAAGTACTATCAATCCGTCCACACAAGCCATTATCGTGCATCCGAAGTGCAACAAGCCCGCTGTCATACGCAAACTGGAAAGAAAGATGAAAGTTGGCAAATTGCTGGCCAAGCAACGTCAAGCTCCGCATGCGGTCATATCCAAAGAGGCCATACCCTTGCCACCAGCAGGAACAGGAACAGCAGCAACAGCAGGGATTGCTCATGATGATGAAAGCCAGGGTTTAATGACTTTGCAGGTGCTGTCGGCACGCGCCTCCACGCCTTATACTCAGCCAACGAGCCTGTTGTCCTGTGACTTGCACCTGAGCCCGCCACCAAATGATGCCAAGACAGCTGCCAAAAAATCGCTGCCTCAGATGGCGTTACCACAACAACAACAGGCGGCAACACAAAAAACACGCAGCATCTCGGCAACAGCTGTCTCGGGCAGTCTGCGTCTGCCCAAGCTACGCAACACACAATCGGCTGTGATATTACCCAGTCCCAAAATGGATACACCCATGCAGCATTATACGCGTCAGCATTTGTTGGATATACGGAATTCAATGGTACATGCACTCATGCATCGCTCCAAGGAGTCTCTGACCTTTACTATGCCGCGCATCGCCACCTGCGATGACATTGAACTGGAGGGTCGACTGCGCCGCATGAATCTATGGCGAAACGTGGACTCGGCACCCAATGCTCGCAACGGCAACAGCTTTAAACCACGTGTAAATCTCCATAATGCCAACGGCAGCAACGAGTGCATGCCCGCCTTCTATAAGAATAAAAATAAACAACAGTTGATCACCGATGAGTCCATCATACAGAGCCAGCCGCCACAACCGCAGCAGGATTTTCAGGTAAGCACTGCACTCATTTTTATATACATGACATATACATAAAGATAATCAGATTAATTAGCACCAGACTAGCCGGGCTATATACTCTTATATATAGTATAGTAGACAGGCTAGTCTAATGCCCCCTAATCTGATTGAATTCCGATAAGGCTTGCTATTTGCGCTAATCTATTCTACGTTACCTTAACCAAAGGTAATCAAGAGAGCCTGAATAATATACTAATTTTTACCTTTGCGAAAAAGAGCACCCCATTGAAAAGAATTTAGACAACTCTAAAATGAACCTTAATAATTTTTAAAAAATTATGTTCTGTGGGGTATTACAATATTTTGAGTAGAGATCTTTTTTTTAGTGCAACAATTTGTAGAATCAAATGCATTAGGAAAACTTGCATGAAAATCGATCCGTAACTTTAGAGAATCGAAGGTGCATCTTTTGATTCACTTCTTATTTTTCTTCTTATTCCTTTTTCTATTTTCGTATTTATAGAATAAAAATCGCCATTTGTTCTTTATTAGAATTTCGTCATATAGTTTTGGTTTCTAGTTTAGAGGAATAGAACCTGAAATATGAACCTCGAGCGTTAGAATTTCTCTATATATACATATGTTGGCGCATTTTGGAATGACATAGCCAATATCAGAGGGAAGCAAATTGTGTGTATATATATACACCTATTGTTTCATAATTAGACAAAAACGTAATCTAAAGCGCGCCTGAAAGTTTCCTAATTGCTTGATTACAGGTATAGCTTAGCATGTTGTTTACAATTAAAATTCGTTTTTATTGGCCGCCTCTAGCTCTAGGAATCATTTGCTCAGATAGTGCTGTGTGCCGTCCACTTGTCGCAGCCGCTGGGCGGCCTGCTCCGCCGTTAAATCCCGCTGTGCCATCGCCAACAGCTCAAATCCGACCATAAATTTGCGCACCGTGGCAGAGCGCAACAGCGGCGGATAGTAAATGGCGTGCAGTGTCCAGTGGGCGCTTGAGGCGTGCGCATGCTCTGGGCCCGTGGGCGCACCGTGCCAGCCCATCGAATACGGAAATGAACATTTGAATAGATTATCATATTTGGTGGTCAGCTCCTTGATGGTAAACGCCAGATTGTGACGCTGGCCGTTGGTCAGATCATTGATGCGCTTGTTGTTGTTGCGCGATATTAGCATCGTTTCAAAAGGCCATGTAGCCCAGTAGGGCACCACGACCAGCCAATCGGGATTCTCAATAACAATGCGTTCCCTGCGCTGCAATTCGCGTTCCACATAGTCGCCCAGCATTGGCCGGTCATGGGTGGCGTAGTAGGCGCGAAGTCGTTCCTGCTTCAGCTGTGGCTCTGTGGGCAGAAACGAACATGACCAGATTTGGCAATGCGGATGCGGATTCGAGCAGCCCATGGTGGAGCCTTTGTTCTCAAATATCTGCACCCAGGCGTACTTGGGGCTCAGCTCGTTAAATTGTTTGATCCATCTGTAATTGAATTACGAATATAAATCGATATGCTATTATCGATAGCCAGCTTATCGATAACTCACTCGTCAATAACAGCGCCAATTTCCGTTGCGCTCATGGTTGGCAAGGTTAAATTCGATTTGGGATGGAAACACATAACGCGACAATTGCCACGCGCTGGCGCTGCCTGAAACAGCGGATCATCGCTTGCCGGCGGCGAGGGCACCTGTTCCAACAGTGCGGGAAAATCATTATCAAAAACATAGGTGCTCTCATAGCGTTCGGTTATAATGCCATTGGGTCGTTTAACGCCCGGGCAGAGAGGATTATTGGGATCAAATTCGGGTTGTACATTTAGCTGCGGCTTCTCCTCCTGACCCGACCAGGGTCTCTGCATGCGATGCGGACTCACAAGCACCCACTGTCCATTCAATGGATTCAGTCGGCGATGTTGGTGCTCTAAAAATATATATATGAATTTATTTATGTGTACAATTAAATGCAATTACATAGATTAGCAGTGCGCCGCGTCGCTCTTACCGCTGGCCACAAACTGCATCTTGTCACTGAGCCTAAAAACGTTGCTATCACTGCATTTACCTACTGCGTAGGATTAGTGTTGTGTGTTTGTAATGGCTGCCGCTTACAGTTATCTGTCTGTCGCTCGCTCGCTCGCTCGATCGATGGAGTCCACGGGACAGCGCAATGTCAACTGGCGCTGGCACCGTTTTAGTTTTTGTTTTTGTTTTTGTACATTTCCGACTAGCGTTTTATACTATACTTACATACATACAAATGTATTTGTTTTTCGCCAAGCACAATTTTCATTTTGCTCACTCTCCCTTTTGTTTTTGCGCTCATCGCTTAGCACGCACATTCGCTAGTTTACTTGACGGTTTATCAGCTTACGCTTGCAATCTCTCTCACAGCTGGTACTGTAAATATACCAATGCATATGTATGTATATGTGTGTGTGTTGTGTGCCAATATGTGAGAGCTTTACTGGCGCCAGCCGCTAGCGATGTGCCATACCCGCGATTAACGGTGAAAGTTACTTAACAGTTACACAGTTTCTGCATATAAATATTATGCGTTGTTCATATATATGTGTGTGTGTAGATATGTATATGTATGTATGAAGATTTATACGTAAATTCAATCGTGTGGTATATATGTACATATATATATGTGCATACATTGTATCTTTAGCTGGACAATTTATTTTATTTTACATACATAAATGCAAATAAGGTTATGTTAGCTATCTATGTATGAACATATAATTACATCCTTTATATACCTTTATTACTCGCTTTCGCAGGATCCGGCTATTGTTAATCAAAGACGCATCGGCAGCGGACGTCTATCGCATACGAAATGGTCTTACAACAACAACGACTACAAGTCCGTGCAATCGTACAACAACAACAATAATCATCAGCTGAAAGCCATAGGAAAATCTCACATGGATGATATAGAGCATCATAACAAAAACTCCAGCAATATGACGGTGTTAAAGTTCTTTGATAATGGCGAGATCAGCAGTACGCAATTGAATGGCACAAAGCAGTCGAGTGGCCGACCAAATACGCCCATAATGGGCATGTCCAACAACAATCGGTCGGAAAACGAAAGCTTGAAATCAAATGAATCCGTCGAGGATCTGAATCGAGCCAACGAGAATTACGTAAAGCGTGTCATGTCTGGCTTTTTGGTCGTCTCCAAGCCAAAATCTCGCGATTCGGAGGAGCGACACTATCGTCGCTATAGAAACCAAAATGAGGAGCCGGAGTGGTTTAGCTGTGGTCCCACCTCAAGACTCGATACAATCGAATTATGTGGCTTTGATGAGGATGAGGAGAAAATGCTCAAAGAGGGAAAACACGCCACCAACGATGCAAATAGAGAACCCATCATGCAAAAGCACAAAGTAAGCAACAACATAACAAAATTAACTTAATGCAACTATAGACAAATGGGAATATAAATGGTTATAAGGGAAATGCATAGATTATGAGAATCGCAAAGTGGGGCGCTAATTTAGTTGTCATTGCTTGTACTTAAGATGTATATTGTTTACATAATTAACTGACGTATCTTACTTTGTTTTGATGTCTCCTCTTCCCAGATCGAACATAGCAAATACAAATGGCAACATCCTGACACTATTGGCCGCAGCACAAGCAGCAGCAACGGCAACATTGCCGGTAAATTTATGCCAAAGAGCGACAGCAATAACAACAACAATGCATCGGAGAACATGAACAAAGTGAACTCAAGTGAGCATCCGCAGCAGCAGCAGCAGCTACAAAAGGATGAGAAACGATATGGCAATCGTGCGCCACAGTTTAATAGCTTCAATCACAATCAAAAGACATTTGATAATAATAGCTATGCACGCACCGAAGTCAATTATCAGCAGAAACATCAACAACAGCAGCAGCAACAGCAGCAGCAGCATGCGTCAAACACAAACAACAACAATTCAAAATTCATGTCCTTTTTTGCACGCGAACGTCAGGAGAAGAATGGCTCATCCTCATCACTGAATGAGTTCTTTAAGCAGGCCATGAGCCAGACCAACATTGGCAACAACAATAACAACAACAACAATATCTGCAACCAGAACTTGGAGCAGCCCAAAAGCCTCGGTTATGTTAATCAAATGCCATCCGTTGATCAGCTCGAAGCCAAATGGCGTCGCAATTCGCTTGGTAATATGAACGATGTACCAGCTGCAGGAGCAGGAGCAGGAATAGCAGCCCAGCCTATCAACAATAACATAAACAATAAACAATCAGATAGTTTCCAAAAATTAATTGGTGCTCTAAATGGTGCCAAACCGCAAATAGTGCCGCCCCAGCTGCCGGCACAGCAGCCGCCAGTCGGCAACGATGCCATCTCCAATTTTATTATACAACAGCAACAATATCAGCAGCAACAGCAGAAGCAACACGTGCTCATCCAACAGCAGCAACAGCAGACCGCCTTTCTGGCCAGCCTTCAGCTGAAGGCCATACTGGGACGCGCCGATACGCAACTGTTGTTACTCCGTCTGACCAAAGGTATGTACGGACGAAGTCTAAATTGAAAGATCTTATAATAAGTTTATGTTGTTACAGGTGAAATTTCTAAGCATGGACTGCTGGTGCAGTTGGCCAATCCGCGCTTAACCAACATGGATCGCGAGGCTATAACGGCTGTGCTGCAGTTCACCAATACGCAGCAGCAGCAACAACAGCACCAACAGCAGCTGGAGATGCTATCGAGTACAGTGATTGCCAGTCAGCTACAGAATCTACACAATTTGGCCATTGTCCAGCAGACGCTTGCCGCGCGGCAGCAGCAGCAGCAGCTACAACAGCAGCAGCAGCAGCAGCAGCAACAACAGCAGCAAGCGCTTCCGCAGCAACTATCACAGGAGGATCTGCAGGCGCATGCCAACACCATAATGCGCAATGCGGTCATGAAGCGCAAAATGGAGGAGCAGACCTCAAAGCTGCTCAACATGAATGCCGCCGCAGCGGGCAAACAGCAGCCCATGCAGCAGCAGCAAGTGCGCGGCCAATTGCCGGCCATGCATGGGGCACGAACTGGACGCCAGGAGACATCTTCAAATGCATTGCTGAATTCGCTTATCGCTGGCAAAAACCATTCGGCAGCTAACGGGATCATGATGCAATCCCAACAGCAGCAACAGCAGCCAGTTGTTGCCGCCAATTCACGGCATACTGACGCAGCTCTGCGTTTCGCAGAAAACGCAAATTTGCAAATTGGTGAATTGGCCCAGCCTGCGGGACAGTATCAATCATATGCACAGACACAACAACAGCAACATCTGCAATACGCAGCACAGCAAATGCGCCAACAACAAAACAATCAGAACAACAACAATAATAGCAACAATAACAATAATATCAACAACAACAACAACAACAACATTAACGTAAACACAAATAATTTTAACAAACCTCAAATTCAATCACAGCAGCCGATGGCAATGCTCACCAGCGGCAGCGGCGGAGGTGAGTACAAAATTCATTTATAAATCATTTTTGATGCTCGTCTATCTATCTATCTATTCATATTTCTTGCCCATCTATCTCACACATAATTTATTTCACGTAATTGTATTTTACTGTAGAACGTGAGCGTTAACCGCAATGTCTAAATATTGTATATGTTATTTTTATATATGATCAGGTTTCAATTTTAGCTATATTCTTGACTCGTGTGCCAGGCTTTGGGTTTTTCTCAGCGACATTTTTCAAGATAGATGCAAAGCTAATTAAACGAGAAATTCTTTTCTTATAGATCTTCGGAAATTGTGTTATATTTCAATTTAGGAAATTTGAACTAGGAAATTCTTCTTCTTTTCGTCTTACATAAATGAAATATGTATTTTATGCGAAAACCTAATCCAGAGCAGGGAAATGGGGATAATATATATTCGGTAATATATAATATATATAGGAGAGGAAAATAATTGGGAAAATAAGGTTCATTTAAATTTAGTTCCTATGAATATGAAGGCCCATGAAAACTTCTTTTATGACGGTTGTGTTTTAAAATCAACTTGCGGTGATTTTTTGTCAATGAGAACACGTTCAGGTCATAAAGTCTGAAATATATAAGTGAAAGCACGAATTCGGCCTTTACAAATGCATAAGTAAATATATTTTGTAAATATATTTTTGTATATGTTTCTGAGCCATGAATCAGTTGACACAAAGTGAATGAATGCAGTTTATTTATATTTGCAATGCTTTTAAGTCCCGTATTTGATGTGACTCAAGTACAAATTTTCAAGACCTGGACAAATCTTTTATCTTATCACCATATTTGTTTATGAGACTTTGAGAGATATTCCTATAAAATTTCATCAATGGCTGCAGATTGATTAATTGGAGTATAAATGTTAAATGAAACCTAAATTCAATCTCGTTTGCTTTTGCTACCAGATCGTTTCATAAACATTTATTATTAAACTCTGATTATGAAGCCGGGTTGAGGCGTGATTCGACAAATTTGAGCTAATTTGACTTTGATTAAAACCAAAAAGACAACAAATTCTCGTTGATCAACTTCCTATTTAAACTTGTTTTGAAAGATGAGAAGTTTAACCGAAGCTCTGTTAGGGAATAAATAAAATAAATGACATATTTTTTTATGTTGGAATAGGATTAAGAAATTTTAGAGAGTATTACAACCCCAAACTATAAATAACTTTGATCCATATGAGGCAGATGCTAATTTTGGATAAATATAAAATGTAGCCCGCATATTGTAGTATGAAAATATGCACGGTTAGCAATATTTTCAGTACAACGGCCAATTGTCAATAAAAGAAGAAAAAGTTAATTATTTAATTAAAATTTAAAGGGCTGACTCCATATCAAATCATATAACATATCAGTTGAGCTCTCCCATAACATTTGTTATGCATAGAACCTGTTTTTAATATTTAACTCTTACTTTTCTAAACCCTAAGCACATCGATTCATCTATAAATATGTTCGCCCGTATAAGATATACTCACACATTGATATATTTGAGTAGATTTCACGATCGCTCGTCGAAATAGAATGCGATGATAAGAATGTTAATACATTGAGAAAATATTTATTCACGTCTCTGTGTAGATTAGGTGTTGTTGAAGCAACTTGTTTTAGCGCAAAAAGTTTCATCTTTGATCTTAAGTTTCTAGCGTGACTAAGATTGGAAGAAGAAAGAAATATTGCCAGCGAGGAAGGAATGCTCACAAATTGTTATCAAAGGATAAAGTTGTCAACTATAACCCTCAATTATAGACCAGTATAAGAATTAGAAAGTACAATTTTTATAGAAGTTATTCTATAAAGTCGAAAGTGAAAACTGGGCTGGGAAGAAATCTAACAAAAACTAACGAGGCGGAGGTTGCCGGCTCGAATCCACCAGCCATATTTAAAATGGATCGCCCTTTGGATTGAAGATTAAGAAGATTTTTTTAGTAGAGTTAATTGTTCGTAGTATGAGGAGCCGAGTTTGTATGGATAAGACTGTACAAAACAAATTAATGAGTACCTAAAATATCTATTTTGACAAATTTTTAGGGCTGGCAAATGTAACACCTTCTGGTATTTGTGGCAATGCTATTTGCTTTTGACATTAAGACAAACTCATTATTGGTATTGATCTGAAATTTTGTTCAATTAGGTTTTTTTTTTTTTTTACTTGGGGATCGTGCAATGACTCGGCCAATTGTTTTGCCTGGTGTCAATAAGACCCCACTCTCGTGAGTCATGTGCGCCGCCTAAGTGGGTTTTCAGGTGTTTGTACCTATTTGCATATATGTATTTGTGCTCGCACATACATATCTCATAAGTCTAGAGGCGCATTTGTAGATCGACGGCTCTGGAATTTCCATGCCCTACAGCACATACGTCTTCATCAGTTAAGTTAGTTGCTTGCGATATTGCAATCGAGTGTGGGGCGTGACTAAGTAATACAAGGCTATTCGTACTACTCCTAAGACAACAAAACGACTACGAGCTATCAGCGCATTATCAGCTTATAATTATTAATCAAAAGCGAACTGAGCTTCGGTTTGCTTACATACAATCTCGAATACCCTAACACATTTAGCAATTATTTTATAATTTAATACAAAAATGATCGAAAGGGATTTTTGTGTGTATTTATAAGAGTTTTGCGGATTTTCCAACTACATTAAATTTAATATTCTGCATTTAACAATTTCAATGCAAGTGTCATATATTTTCTTCAATAATCTATCAAAATTGTTTTTATATATTTAATGTTTTGACCAATTATAGAAATTATTCGTAATATGTTCATTGCGTTTTTCGAAATGTTCTGAGCTTTGTCTTTTCCTGATAATACCACAATATAGTATTAGTTTTAGTTTAATCAGGATATATTTCAAGTAACCACTCACTCTTCACACGCTGTGTGACAAAATCATAATATACCATGCTATAGGGTATAATACTGGGACAGTCTCTGTAAAAATACAAATATGACGGATCATGCCATCTTCACATAACACTAACAATTACAAAATGATCGTCGTACATTATAGTTTTTGTGTTTATTGATTGTGTTACTCTAGAATCAAATCGTTATGTCTATTGTCTAGCGTCGTCTTAGCAGGGCTGGTGCACCTTGCCGGCGAACAGAATGTTGCCGGTGGCCTCCTCCTCGATGAAGAAGACAAACGGGCGGTTCACATTGAACTCGACAATGGTCTGGGAGCTGCCGAACTTGTTCTCGATCTCGACGACGGTGGCGGCATATGCCTCTGTGCCCTGCTCGTTGACATCGATGCCGGCCTTTTGCAATATATTCGATACCTTCACCTTGCCGGCAACGTCGGCGCCGCGCGTTAGACCCGGCAGCGAGGCGCTGTCCTCGAATATCTCACGTACGCCCAGCTGCTGGAGCGTATCCTTAAAGCTGCGCTTGTAGTCGAACTGGAATTTGGGCAGCGTCACCTTGACTTTGAGCTCCTCCATCGCCCATTGGGCGCTCTTGACTTCATCATTCTCCAGCGCGTGCAGCAGATCATAGATGCCGTCCATGGCATGTGGCAGGAGCACAAACATCGAATTCTTGCCCTTGTACGGCAGACGCAGTATCTGTGCCTTCATCTTGTCCGAGTTGTGGTAGTAGAAATAGTCCGTTTGCTCCATATACTGAACACGCGTCTGGGCATCTCTGGTGCGAAAGAAGGCGCCCTCGTATGTATTGTAGAATTGTCGGCGCCACAAGCCCTTAAAGTAGATCAAATTGGTCAGCAGCATAACGCTGTGCTGTATGGTCTCGGGTGTGACCAGGTTGCTCAATCGTCCATTTGTCACATTATTTGCCCACACGTTGATGGCAAAGGCCGCCGCTGGCGCATTGCCAAAGTCCAGAGCCTCGATTTCGCTGTCATAGAAATGCTTCAGTGTGGCCGTAAACTTTTGCTGCGTCTCGATGAAGCTGTCGGTGAAGAGTTTGGTGCGCACATTCAGTGTGTTGTGCAGCTGGTTCTCCTTCTTGAACGAGTTGAGCGTCTTGCGATAGAACTCACGCACATTGTTCGCCGATCTGATGTCTGTCTGTGTGCTTATCAGCTCTTGCTGTGTCTGTGTATTGGTGCCAGCGGCCTCCGAGAGCAGAGCCAGCACCAATTTAACAGAAAACGGCGATATGATGACATTATTCTGTTGCTCCGTATCGTTGAGCAGCACCGTCTTCAACAGCTGCCACGAGAAATTGTCATGCGAATCACTGCGAAACGGCACAAATGTGTCGAGGTCATCGTAGGATGCAGCCGGCGGCATTGTTGGAGCAATCGCAGCCGTCCCGCTGGCTGGCACCTTATCGGTGCGCGTCTCGAACACGCCCGTCGGCGTCGTCAATGTGGGTATATTGTTGCCATTGGCATGCCTCGTTGCGCCAATCAACAACAGCATCAGCAATGGCAGCCACATATTATAGCTTTTCATTAGGTTTGTGTACATTTTTATCATAAATTTTCTTTGGGCGCACTTTAAATTTGTTGTGTGTATGTATACGCTTATTTTTTTTTTTTTGTTCTTGTTGTATGTTTTCACTCCTTTTCGCAGCAGCAGTAGAATAGCTTAAAGCGCAACTTGGCGCTCACAGCAAAATGATGGAGAACCGTTTGGCGCGCGGTTCCAACTGAGAGTGACTCAAAGCTCGCTGCGAGCAGGCCATTTTAAAAACCAGCTTAGTGTTTGACAACGATATGGTTGTTGTTGTTGTAGTTGTTTTTAATGCTGCTGCGCGGCTTCTGTTTTCGCTCTGCTGCTTTAAAGGGAGTCCCAATCTGACAGCAATGTACGTCACAATCTTACGCGCTCTCTCTCTCTCTCTCTATCTCTTTATTCTGATGCTGATCATTTAACCGTTGATTAATGTGTAAATATACACATGAGTGCTTAGATAAACCTGATGGGTGATAAAATTCTTGTAGCTCAAAAGGAAATCCGCATAAATTCCAAATACGTCAATAAATGAAAAGTTAAAAAACCCAAAATTAAGAAATAAACATCGATTAAGCGGCGCTCTCCGAAACACACATGCATGCGCAAACAACTATACATAGTTATGTATGTTTGAGTGTGTGAGTGTATTTTAATGCTCATTTTTAAACAGTTATTAACGCTGCACATTACCTAACGGATGTCTAATTGCTGACGTACATTTTGCATCTGGCAACTCCAAACGAACAGTGTTGCAAAACTTCATATACAATCAAACAGCTGTTTTCACACGCACACTTTCGTTGTTTGACCTGATCTGATGTAACACAGGCACCGGCTATTAAAATCTGTGGGATTCATAGCAAACCAAATTTTGTTTTGCAATGCAAATACGTCGTCCTCGTGGTGTTACAGTAACTCAGTTAATGGTTGTAACCGCAGTTGGTTTTCTGGGCGGTGTTTACATTTGGCAGCCACTAATATTGAAATTTAAAAACGAAAATAAGCCTGACAACAGCGAAGCGCCAGCGCCAGCAACAACAACAACAGCAACAAACTCCACAAAGTGGTGCGATAGATTTTAGTTAAATGTACATTAAAAACAATTACTTTAATGCATTTCTTCTTTTACTTGCCCCAATTACAGATGAGCTTCATTAAACAATTTGCCTCAACGACTGTCGGCATGATGGCCATCGCCATCGGATCCACGGCTGTCGTATATTGCACCAATCGTTTTTTAATTAAACCGTATCAGAGTAAAAAGCAACGTTTGGAAGCCGAAGCCTGTGCGGAGTATATATTTCAGCAGGAATCCCAGAAGCGTGGATAGATCAAATAGATGGCACTTGTTAACTGTTCCAGATCTTTATAATAGTTTTTCCTATATTTACACATACATTTATAAATAGTAACGTAGATAATAGATTTCAATGGAAAAATAATTTGGGCACCTGAAATTTCGAACTTGTATATCTTCAATTTGCATTAGATTATCATCATATTGCCTTTTTTTTTACTAGCATACAACATTTGTCTTTTGCAATTTTTACGATCGGTGGATAATATTGTTAAACAACAAAAAAAAATAACAAAATACGCTTTAAGTTGAAGAACCATGGAATTTTAGTGGAAGATTTATGAAATGAATTGGAAAAATGAATGATTAACTGATAAGTACACGTATGTTTACAAATTTGAAATAAAAATAAAAACACAAAAACCAAGCCAACAAATAGTTTTCTAACTTTTAAAATATCAACATACAATTGGATAAAAAAAACTTTAAATTTATCTCAGAGACGAATAAAGTTCTAAAGCGCTACGCTTTGTATTCTTGCGCTCTGCTTTTTTCTCCAGCGCATCCAATTTGTCGGTGGGATAAAATTCCCAAACCGAGAAGGACTCATCGAGGCCAGCCGCGGCGAGCTTGGTGCCATCCGGACTCCACATCATAAACAGTGCTCCTCTGTCCTGATGCGTCAAAATATCAACAACACGGTTCAATGAGGCAAGCACCAAGATCTCACAGCACGGACAACCGTTCTCATCTGGAAAATGTTGGTTTTCAAATAAAAGTATACTTCGAAATTGGCGCGTAATCTTACCACGTCTATAAATGTTGACCAGCAACTCGCCCGTGATCTTACTAAAGTTGATCGAGTTGATTAAAATCTTCTCATCTCCACGCTGATAATAGGCAACAATTTCACGGCGCGGCACATGGAATATGTAAATGGACGAGCGTCGTTTTTCCGCTGCGTAAAAGGTTTACATTTTCGGATTATAAGTTCATTATCAATGCAATGTTACTACTCACAAATGGCCAACTCCTTGGCCAGCCATGGATGCCAATCGAAGACAATGCCGCCCGCCTTGGCGCCCAAACGCAAGATCACCTTATATAGCGAGCCATCGAATATGTATATATGACCCTGGACATCGGCTGTGGCCAAGTAGCGTCTCGTCGGCGAGAAGCGCATGCAACAGATTTTATTCGTATGCTTACGCAAGACGTGCTCTATGGTCATCGTCTGGAAGTTCAGCACCACAATCAAGCCGCATTTCATGCCGCAGACAATCTCATCTTTCGCCTCCATCCATTCAATGCAACATATCGACTCGAAAGATCTTGGCAGATATTTGCCATCGGCTACTAGAAACTCGTTTCGTGACTGCACTAGCCAAAGCTCTAAAACTGAACATTGAAAAGGACGTCAATTATTTCTGTTACAGATCTTAGAAATAAAAAAAATAAATAACATATATATATACTCTGGCATACAAAGTACAGATGTGACATCTATTTAAATACAAGCTCACACATCTGTCATAAATAACAAACTATAAAATATTAAGTTAAGGTAAGTATAATTTATCATATAGCAAATCGAACCAGTTGAGCCCTGAGTTCCATAAACCAAACTTTATGTGAAAAGGACTAAACATTTCAGGAACTTTCTGCATAGAAACTAAGCGACAAAATATACGATCGATCGCTAGCATAAAGATGCTTTATACAATTGGAGGAGGTAGTCCTCTTACGATATGAATAGCATACCCAAGGTACAAGACATATCCAGGTATTATAAATATACGTACCGGGATTTTCACCATCCATACAGCCAATGGCAAGGTATCTGCCATTTGGCGAATATTTGACGGCACTTGTCCGCTCCACATTGAATATCATGCTGGTATCATTCTGATTCCGCCAGATGATCAGGTTTTCGCCAAAGGAAAGGGCCATTTGGCCGTTAGTCGACCAGTCCATCATATTATGATCTGAAATGGAATGGATGGGTGAGATATGTGTTTTCAAACTGAGTCGGATACGGCTCGTCTTCATACCGAACGATGTGCACAGCTCGGGCATTTCGTTGGTGGCCGTGGGAAACGCCATCGGGCGGATGCGTGGCTGGCAGGGCCAATCTCTGTCCGTTTTCGGCTTGCGCGTCTTGGAGTATTTGCTGTGCATATTGCTGAACTGGAGCAAACGACCCTCATGTATATTAAATACATTGTTTATGGCGGACACGAAGCTGCCCTGGCGCCAATAGCTCGACGATTGTGTTAGATTCTGAAAAGAAAAAGATGTTAAGGCAAATGCTTTTGCTATTTGCGAGTGCTCACCATTTTCAGAAGATCCTGCTCTTTCGTCTTGCCCAGATATTTCAGATTGTAATCAATGCTCTCGGACTTGAAGCGTTTGGGTATGAATCGATCGCCGAAGCTGAATTCCGGGCTGGCATTTCGCTTGTTCTAGTTGAAGAATTGCAATTAAAAGTTGTGTCTTATCAGAGTCGTTTACCTGTCAATTCACCTGGTAGACTTCATGCTGCCAATCGATGCGACGCCCCTTCACAAAGGCGCGCACGTCTTTTTGGTCCATCAGATAATTTTTACTTAAACGTTCACACACATCCATAACGAAGACTAACATGCAACTGATGCACATTTTTTCTCAACGCCATATTTATCTTCGATTCTCTAAGTCTTCGATTTGCCTGCGAGTCAAATCTGATAAGCTTTGCCCAAGTAACTGTACTCGTTCTCTGCCAGTTTCTTTGAATACCCTGCCAGAGGGTATGCCGGACTTGTGAGCATGTTTATAAAAATATTTGCTTCGTTCAAGTTTCTCCTTCCACAGCATATCTATATATTATTTATTAAATTTTATTAGATAACAATTGTTTGGAAATGGCAGGCAGTTGATCTTAGTATTTAAAAATGAGTATTATTTTAAATTTTAAAAAAATACATACTCTATCTGTGAGTTCTCTTTGCAGATTATTATTGACTAAGCCGCGTGGCCCACTTGTTGCCACAGGTCGGGCAATTGGAGCGAGTACGCAAATACTTTCGTATGCAGTCCCTATGTATTTTCCTGCCACAATCGGAGCACTTGATGTCCCAGAGCACCAGCTGCTTGCAGAGAGCACACTCCTTTATCGTATCCGCGTAGTTGGAACGCAAATAGAACTCGAACTCGACGATGCTGCGCGGACCCAAATAGAGTCTGTCGTCGGCTTCGAGAAAGTAGCCCATCTCGGTCCAGAGTTGGAGCAGTGTCTGCATGCGCAGCTTCTTGGGCGGTTTCGTGGATCCCTTAAAGTCCAAGTCAGAATATGCCTCGTTCCACGCAATGTGGCAATCCTCCTGTTGACCCAATTTGTCCAATAGATTCGAGAAATACAGGCACTCCTCAGCTGTGAGTCCCGGATGATTCTGTTTATCGGGCGTTGCGTCCGTTATGGCAAACACCAAATACTCCTTGCCCGTTATGGGATGTTTCATGAAGCCCAACGATTGACTGAGCTCCTTTATAGTTCCTTCGATATCCTTAACGAATTCGTGCAGAGCCTCTTTTTTCGCGGGCTTTGTCACTTGATAATGCTCGCAGAGCGGAATCAATATCTTATCAATTTGATCATGATCAAGGCAGCTGTGATTTATGCAGGCGCGTAAAAATGCTCGCTTTACCATATCCATGTTGCTTTTTAACTAATAGTTTTCTATTTCGTAAACATTAGATTGTTCAATTGCAGACTTGTTAAACTACATAAATAAAGCGACGCGCCTAGCGAGGGCTGCAATAGTATCGATATGCAACTAGAATGCTGGCTAGCGACCAAAATATCTCGCATAGTTGCTTTTGCAATTTTTTATGTTATTATTAATCAAATTGTTAAATAAAAACTGAATTTTGTGGTGATTGTCTTTTAATATTTCTATATATCTTTCGCTTAACAGCAAGGTAACACAGCATGACGTTTTTGTTGGCAACTCTAGAAGGGAGATGCATACCAAGCTTAAGCGATAGGTAACTATCGGTCAGCTATTGCGTGGCGAAGGCGCAAAGTTTAAAATAAGACCAGGAAACGTAAGTACTTAAAAATTTCATGGAGGCACCACATTTCGATATTGTTGTAAAAAGCGCTTCGTAGTCATTTATTTTTTTGGTTTTATTGATTTGAAACTTACAAATTCATAGCACAACAATTAATATTTTCAATGTCTATAAGAGTTTTTCTTTAATTAAAATCAAGTATGTTTTAATAGTGTTTAATAGACAGAATATTGAATATTAAAACCGAATATTCTTACATTTGTGTATTTTTATCGTGCAAACACCGCGAATCACACATTAATATACATGAACAAAATATATATGTAAATGTTTTGCAAAATTTTGTATAATTTGAAAACGCAAATACATATCTAAAGCTGTTTAAAATATATTTATTTACACTAATTATTGTTCGGCAATTTTGAAAGCATTCTCTATGTGTTAATAGTATGTCAAAAGAAATGTAAGACTACCGTAAAAAAAAATCAAAATTGAAGGGGTTCTTCTTAATAGTTCTATAGTTTTTCTATAGTTCCTATAACTTCTTGCCATAAAATCCTAATAGCCTGATTCTCGTCGATACCGGACTTTGAACATGCTCCAGGATTTCCATCTAAACATTTGTGTTTTGGTACGATTTTGAAGAACAGTTTAATAATTTTTAAAATGTATATATATATATATATATATTCGATTTTCGGTGGCAATAAAATGTAGCAGCGGTTTCAAATAAAAAGAAAAAGGGGAATATAATAAAGCTATGAGTATTTTATTTAATATTAAAATTTTACACATTTTCAGATTTTTGTGTTTCCATGTTAATTACAGCTTAGGGTAAAATTATTTATATATCCCTTCATGGAAAAAAAGAAAAATAATTATTCTAGATAATTAAATAATATAAACAATTATGTAAATTTATTAAAAAAAAAAACACCTTAAAAGCAAGAATCAATATTTAACTTTTAACAAAAAGATCATTAAACTAACTCATTGACTGATAACTAGAATCCAAATCACAATGTCTTAAGAACTAAAACAAACAAAAGATTCCAAAATAAAAATCTAATTTGTACGCATTAAATTTGTTCACTTGAAATGAGACCAATTGCATAAATATGTATGTAGCAACAAATCAACTTAGATATGAACATTTCCATGTTCGGCTGTAACCTATAAGAAGAAATTTATAAACAAAATTCCAAGATGATTAACGTTTAAGAAAACGAATTAAAAACTATACTTGCATACGTAAATAAATACTTATTACGAATATAAGCAGAATAAATGAAAATGAACCTATAATTTGTATACTTACATGGTTAGTCGCATGTTAGGTTCTAAGAAATTAGATTGTGAGATACATAAACATAAATAATAATTATAAAATACGGAAAAAAAGCCTCTTCAATTATTGTGCTTGTGCCTTAAAAAGCTAACAATACGTATAAATTCCCAAGTCAACCGAAAGGTAATTGGGGAAAATACCCTCAACCGGTTTTGTTCTCATATAATAAGTATTTGTGCGATCGGACAGGCCGACAACATGCGAACGTTTATCACGGGGTGTTACCAAGTCTTGTTATTTGCCTAGTTGTCAGTAATGTTCGTTAAATAAACAAACTGAAAGAACACAACTAAAAATTGGACAAATTGCAAAAGCATAAGAATCGAAACATTTGATTAATAGACAAATCGTATCATTTGTTCTGTTAAATTCGTTTAAAGGTTAATAAATACGTTTCGTTTTCGAGAGATTACATAAAATTATTAGTAACCAAGCTGAGTTCGTTTGCAATGTGATTAGTTTCATTTAATATATTTGACTATTGTTTTTAATTAGTATGTTTAGAGTTGATGCAATGTGTGTTTGTTGTTGTTTCATTTGGAGAAGGAGGAGCAGATGGGAACCCGTTAAAATCGAATAATTAAATGGTTAAAGGTCCGCATGAGTTGTTTATTTGTTAGATGATTTGAGGAAAGATAGAAAGAAAGATGCCGCAGGCAGCAAATAAATAAATTATTATTTTCGCTGAGAAAGTTACATTTTGCATTTTGTTTTTTGTTTGTACTTATATATTTTTTTTTTGTTAGCCATGCAGTTAAATAGTATGTAATATTAACAAAAATAATATACAGTAAATATATATAATAATATATAGATTAGGACTAGAAATCGCTTGGCGTATTTAAATAATACATAATTATTAAATTATAATTAACAACACAATAATAATGGGTTACAAAATAAAAAATTGCTTTTTAAAACGTTTCTTGTTTGGTTGTTTGTACAAAATTAACAGTTAAATCATTATAATTAAAAAGTTAACGAATCACAATTTTGTTATGCTACATAAACAATACATACATACATATAAATAAATATATTTATATATATATATATGTATATATTTTTATGCATAGTAAGTAATTGTTGCAGTTGGTTGTATAAGTTTCGATATAAATCTCGCTTATAACAATGCGTCTACTTGGCCAAAATATCTAGTTAGATATTGTTGTTCTTCGGTTTTTGTTTTGTTTTGTTTTGTTTTGTTATTGGTTTGGTTAGTTGCTCTTTCTACATGGTATAAGTCTTTGGTTTGGTGCTTCATTCAAGATTTCTGTAGCTAGCAAGTAGGTTCTGAGTATCGCCCATGTACCGAATACTTACACGATTTATCGAGTTGCGACGCCCTACGCCGAGGCCATCCTGGCTGAGCCCATTGCCAGTATCATTGTCAATGCAAATGTCCGAGTCGGAGTCGACTCGCCGAAACTCGCTGCCATCCTGTAAAGCAAAGGTATGTGCAAAGTTCAGCGCTGATTGCGACAACTATTCAGGTTCTACCACGTACCTGCGTCAGCTGCTGCGTGGTGGTCAACAGTCTGGCAATGGGATTACAGCAAACCGGCAGCGTCTCCAGCAGCGTGGGCCTGGAGTGCGTCAGCAGCGGCTTCATGTATCTGTGAATAAGCCAAGCTTGTACTTCTACCCAACGATAGTTGACCTTATTTGCAACTTACTTTGTGTCAAAGTTGCCCCAAATCCGCGCCAAAATCGCCTTCTCATGGCTGTTGCGTCGCCGTCCGCCAGCTGCTATTGTTGCAGTCGCCGCATTGCCATCCAGCGGCGTATCCAGATTCGAGTCGGCGCCGCTTGAAAGGCGTGTCTTGCCACGCCCACCGCCACCGCCTTCCACGTCCTGCAAATAGCCATCAGACTGAACAAATTTCAACGAGACAAGATTAGCGCTTTGTGTATGTGTATAAATGTGTTTTACTAAAAGTACCAGCACCAACAAAAAAAAAAAGCCTATAAAAAACTTAAATCAACTAAAAAAAAAATTGAAAAACTTAATACTATAAATGTGTGTGTGTGTGCTTGTGTGTGTTGGTGTATGTGTTATTTGCGAACAAAGGACGAGGAAGAAGCACACATAAATTGGCAATTGAATGGAATTATTTGTCAACGTACCGGAGCCGAATGTGAATTATCCATGGAATTGTAAACCTTTTTTTTTTGTTTGTTTGTTTTGATAGATGGAAAATGGCGTGAATTGCGCAAAATAGTACAAAATAAATAGGTTAGAGAATACGTTTTTCATGTATGACCAAAAACAGAATCAGAAAATGCATTTCAAATCAAAGCAAATGCCCCTCAGTTTGCGATTAAACTACTCGAAAATTCTAATATGTAGAAGAGAGATCTCTTTTGAGGAACAGGCCCGTTGGCCATCGGAAAATTGTATCTAGGTTTTTGCCCAACTTTAAACGGTTGCGCTGGGCGAGACCCCGGAGCATAACGGTTTCTGTGACTCCAGCTTTTCCCTTTCTATTTAAAAAGTCGAAAATAGCCTTGTGCATTGGGATCTGAAGATATATGGATTCGGTTCATGTCCTAGTTATAATGAATTTTTAAAATATAAACTTAAATATAAAACAACAACAACCCAATCTGAAATAAAAGCATTTTGATTGGAAATTAAAATGCCCGAACCCGAATTGTTATTCAACAAATACACATTATTTCAATATTTATACTTTCTAATTGCGCTTTTAAATGTGTTCTGTGCCATATTAAAATTTAACTCATCGATAAAGAAAATTAAGAAACTATAAGATGAATTGCAATTGAAATAATGTTAATATAATAAACTAAAGTTTTAAATTTGGAAACGTAAACATAAAATACGACAAGCCAAGGCGGGGGGTAAAAATAGGATTAGGGCATATAGAAATTAAATTAAAAGAAATAGCACTGGCTCAACCCCTAAGCCGAACCACAGACAATTACAAGAATATGGATTTGCAGTCAGGCTTAGATGAGGGACAAGTTCTTGACCCAAAGTCGTAATTCATAGAATCTTATATTTGTGAATTTCTCTATTTCCCTAGTCAATTGCAGCGGATGCCAATAAATGATACTAATTTGCCATGAAATATGCTCGAAATGAAAAAGGAATTGCCTCCGAATTTCGCTTCAGACCACAATACTAAGAGATTATGACAATGAACCGGCTCAATATATTGTTATATTAATTGTTATTCAACTAACTAAAATAGAAGCTTTTTATCAACAGATTCCCCAAACTAAATTAAGTAGCTCTTATATAAAATGATATCAAATCGAGTGAACTGATTGTCTGTGGAAAGTAAATACTCACACTGTGAACCTGATAGTTATTCAATTGTTCAGTCTCATCATCGACGCCAACGCTGCAATCAGGAATTGTCTATTGAGCAATTATTGATTTTTTTTTAATTGAGGAATCATTGAACTCACGGTATTTTCAACCAGTTGAGAAAAAAGTTAGCCGCGCCGCCCTGTATAATGACCGTAAAGATGACAATCAGCGATGTGGCTGTCAACATGGTCTGGCGCGCATCGGACACAGTATTTCGAATGGCCAAGGCAAAGGACATGGCGCCACGTAAGCCTAATAAAAACAAATGAACAATTAAACACTGAGGAGATTGGAATTCCGCGCGAAAGTACCAGCAAAGAATAGCATGTGCTGGAAATTAGATGAGATTTTTGGTTTGCGTTTAATGTTCAGCAGCCAGGACAAAGGATAGACATTAACAGCACGTCCCAATGCGGCGCAAATCTATAAAAAAAAAAATGTAATCTGTTAGTTGACAAATTAATATAATTTTGAATACGAACTTACAAAAGCGGTTATTATGAAGCCAGCATCGAAATGATGTTTGGGGAATGTAAACATCGAGACGCCAATGTACGAGAATATAAAGTTCTCGGCCAGAAAGTTGAGCAGCTCAAAGATCTGTTTGGTGCGCTGTCGCGAGTCCTCGGACAAATTGTTGTAGGTGTAGTGAGCCTGGCAGATGCCACAAAACAATACGGCCACCACGCCGGTCAACTCCGTGGCCTCGGCCAGCAGAAATGTGCTGTAGCTCATGAGCACAAACAGCGCCGACTCCAGCAGCGGGAAATCACGAACGCGCGTAAACTTGGTCAAGTGTGGCAGGAGTTAAGAAACCAAAATGGACTAAACCTATACATATAACAATTAATAGTATTTGTGTTATGTTTCAAAAAGGATATCAATGCTGTAAAACAGCCCATGACGGCGCCAATTAGCAGCGACAAGAAGAAGATACAGAAAAAGTCGCTCAGCGAGCGAAGAAACGCCGTCGTCTCAAATTCTCCAGTATTCGAATAATGCTCGCCGTAGTTTTGTATGGCACTGAAAATATATATAAACGATAAAACAAAAGGTTGGCAAAAACAATTTGCTTGAAGTTTTAATACTATGCGGGCCTGCAGTACAGAAATTATTATTACCATTGCAAATTGTTATAATAATAATGGTATATAGTGCATCAAATATAGCTAACATATATTAGAAGCATGGCTGACATCGTTTATAATAAGCTTACCCGCTCAAGACAATGGCAACGGCATCGTTCAACACGGATTCGCCAAATACAAGCGCATAGAGATTAACATCGACGTGCAGATCATGGAATATGGCCAGTATGGTGAGCGGATCTGTGGGCGATATCAGTGCCCCGAAATACAGTGTGTCCAGAAATGTGAAACTGCTGCTCAAGTAATTTGGCATCAGCTTAACACAGCCGTACATCACGCCACCGATTAGGAACGCGGACAAGGTGGTGCCCACAATGGCAAAAGTCAGAATGGCGCCCAAATTGCGGAAAAAGTATTTCTGCAAAAAGAAAATATACGTAAATCAGTTGGATATATTTGTGCATTCATTTAAATTGAATAACCTTTTTTAAGCTGTAGCCAGCATAAAATATAATGGGCGGTAAGATGATATTGAAGAAGACCTCCGGATCGAATGTGGCCTTCAAATCAATTTCATTCTCCTCGATATCGTAGACCTGTCCACGAAACACGTAAGCATATGTCTTCACGCCCTCCGGCAGCTTTGTGGCGTTTGTCTGATTAACCGGATACTGAGCAAAACAAAAGCAAACAAATTCAATTACAATTGACTTAAATTGCATAGGCAAACGGCGTGTATCTGCAACTGCACTCACCTTAAACCACAGTGTGTCCGGTGGCAATTTGGCATTGTATGTGGGTATACCCTGCGGCTCCACCTGCATGTGCACCAGCGTGGTATTTGTGCCAGCATATCGTATGATGGCACCAACAATTAAGCCTGCAATTGAATAGACAATTAATCACGATGCGGATATAACGAAGAGATCGACGAAAATATATCAAGTTGAACATATATCTATGAATATGGCATACATGTTGCAAAATGTCATCTATAAGGTTGAGAAATGTCGGAGAATATAGAGGTATTCCACTTTTCGTGGCATCATTTTGCAATTAGTTTTAAATACTTTTCAATGCAAAATGGTGAGTTTTATTATTTCTCAAAGTGGGCAAATAAATATATAGTCAACCCATTCAATATCTTAAAAAAAATGTTCAATTAGCAACTACAGATTATAAGCAAAATGAGAATATGCATAGAAATAGACTTAGTTCAACTGAAACGGGCACAATCGAAAGGTCCACATCCAAATCGATTCAAAAGTGTTTTTTTTTTCCAGCTGTTGCCTGACCTATCGCAAAGCCCGTTTTGAAAAATGACTAATGAATGGGCAGGCGGGCGGTTGGTCGGTCGGTCTGTGTTGTCGTCTGAGCTGCCAGTCTGCCAAGTCTGATAAGATCGTGTAAAACAACTGTGGAACAAGAAATACTTGACATGTTGACTCATTCTCGGTGAAAACAAGAGAATGCTTATCAGCCAGCCAAACAGTTGGCGGGTGCCTTGCGTGGTATCTGCATATTGTGTTGTTGGATTTTTATTAATTTATTTGGCCAGCACATTTCAATGGCAATCAGATTTGGGTTTTTATTGGAGCTTACGCCAATTTAGATACACTCTCTAATTAGCATATTTCATTATTTTCATTGCATGCGACAAGAAAAAAAAAAGAAATACTAACGCCTGGCATGGACAAATCACGTGGCCATATAGAAGCTCCCTAATTAGCTTTAGAATTGCGCTCGTGAAATTTACAACTAAACTTAGCAAGTATTTGATTTACCGTATCGTTGGCATCGATGACAGAGTTTATTCAAAAACTCAAGCTAAACGCTATAAAAACGATTGAGGGAAAACCCAAAGCGAACAACAAATGCGATTGTGAGGCAACTGTTTGTATACAGTGAGGATTCGGTAGAGTGAATTGCTTTTGCTCAATTAATTATTATTGCAAAGCAGCATGCCTAATTAAATGTATATCTAAGATCAAAAGACCTCAATTAAATCTCTGGCATGCTGTGTTATTTTAGCAGTGAATAATTTAAGCTTAAATTTTCCATTTGTTTAGATAGTAAATATTAGAAAAATGTTTGATCAAAGAGCTGTATTTCAACATTATTAAATGAGCTCAATATGAAAAGTTCTCTTTGTAAAAAGCATAGAAATTCATCTAATCTATAATTCAACTTGTAATTAAATTCACATAAACAAAGATGCAATAAAAATAATATTATTTGCAATTGGATTATTGTGCTCATTCAAAAATGCACTTGTAAACTTTATAGCAACTGATTCATAAGTTTATGGCGCTATAAAATCAGCAGCAACTTTGATTTTCCGTTATGTAGCTTAGCGAATGTGCACTGTTATAAAAATATGCACACAAATATGCATATCTTTGCGTTTTATAATTGATAATAATATTGTTCTTAGGAATAAACAGAAGTAATGTGTAATCAGAGTCTCCAAATACAGGTTCGTATAACATCAACCCGTTTATTTGTACAATATGCGGGCCTTGAAAGCTTTACTGTTCCGATTACAGAGGCCAGTTTTGTTTTTATGTTTTATAGGAGGTGGGGGAGGGGGGGTGGGGGGTGTGGTTCTGTGCACACTAGGTGTAAAAATACGTATTTGAATACATTTATATTTATTTATATACATATACATATATATATATGTATATGTATATATCTATGTGTACGTGAGGTATGTTGCGAATGCAAAAGAAACCAAGAGGCGACAATAAAAGCTGCAATTGGCAATGACAGGGTCAAAATGACGACGCGGCGAAAAGGGGAACATGACGAAATCAAGAATGAATGATAATTTTAAAAGCCAACAAATGGCGTGTATAAAGATAAATAAGCCCAAGCTCGAGTGGCAGGTCGAGTGTTTTGCTTACCATAAATAACAGCCAATCCGGTCTCATGCAGCCAGGAAACGCGATGATGCTTGAATAGCCAAATGGTCAGCACTGTTAGCGCCAGCAGGAATACAAATACCAGCAAATCAAGACTTTGTATGCGATGATTGAGCGTCGCTTTCGCATCGAGCGTTATGTCCGTGTCGGCTGCACTGCAGCCAGCGATGAGGGCACAGACCGTGAGCAGCCGCAGCGAGCTTGGCCAACAGCAGCGTTCCACCTGGGTCCTCCTCACTGGGGCCGTGTGTGTGTGCATTTTGCACTTGCTGTGTGTAGGTGGAATGAAATTAATTGTACAATTGTACGTAAATTGAATGCATACAGTGGCAGCAGCAGCAGCAGCTGCTGGCAAAACAGCACACGAAAACTGAAATCGATTTTCGCGTTACGTTGTGCGCCGTAAATTGATTTGGCGCACAGCTTTCGCAGCTTGCGTTTGTGCTTGTCGGCACCTTTGCCCGCAGATTCGGTTGTTATTGCGCTTTTATTACATTAATTAACAAAATAATATTTTACACAATTGATTTTGTCACTAGAAGCATATATGTATATTTGAAATTATGCTCGCCTCTTATACACTCTTATACTACTAATAGCTACGCTGTGCAGAGCAGACAGTTTCCTTTGAAGTCTGGTGCTTGGACTGCTGCTGCTGCTGCTCGCAGCTGTTTATGTGGTTATCGATAACTAACGATGTTTCGCAAGCGATTGTCAGTGTTGTGAAACATCACGAATACCATTTTTTCCTTTTTGTTGTGATTAGCAAATTCTATTACGTTTTGTGCACGCATTCTCAACAGGGGAAACGAACTGGCTCAGTTTCTAAATCAAATTGAAAAATATGATCTTTTTTATTTTTAATTTTATTATATTAACTGTCGGTTTGATTCAAGTATTGTTCTCTTTTGTATTTGGCAATAATTTGCATTATTTCCAGTTTAGCGTCTATTTTGTAATCCTCATCCAGTTGATCCAAATCCTGAGCAACTGTCATGCCATAATGATAAAAATATGATTTGTGTGCTTTCCTAGGTGTTCGCACTTCCATGATTGTGGCCTCTTTTGGCCTTTTTCTAACAGGTGACAATGGTTCTTCTTCTTCCTCTTCATTCTCATGCTCACTTAACGCTGGCGGATCTTCGGCTGACGGTTCCTCTGTTTTTATCGTGATATTTGGTGGCAGGCAATCTTGTGTAGCAAGTGGATCATCTTCGGATAGATCAAAACTGCTCTCGCTTGGGTTGGCAGGTAGAATAGTGCCGCCACATGTGCTCACTTCCGATGTAGTTGGTTGTTGCTGTGGTCGAGATGCTGGTGTGTCCAGAGCTGAGCTTAAGAACGATAATGTTGACCTAAATTTCCAGGTGGTACTGAAGTTATCAGCATCTGCTCCGATTCTCCTTGATTTGCTCTCCTCGAACAAATAGTAAGTTTTCATGTTTGTCCATTTTTTTTGCAATGCCTCTAGAAACATAATATAATTACTTTAATATGCAACATTGTGCTAATCAACAATTTTATTTAATTAACCCTTTGTAATTGGTGTGGCTGAAAAAAATCCACCGTATGCATTGACTTTTTCTGCCAACAGGGACCAGAATTTTGCCTTTTTTGATTTATATGCAAATTGCGGATGGGAGTGGTCCCAAACGAACGGCGCCACTTTCACATGTTTGATTATAAAAAACAAAATCTCATCGGTCCAGACAACTTTGTTATTTTTACTCATTTTGTTTATACTATCTTTCGTTGGTTTATGCAGCGAATAAATCGATGTGCTTAACCTATCGATAACAAATATGCATATCGATTGTAATGTTTAAGCGTGGTATGCAGTTTTCAGCTTTTAGCGGCAACATAAACAACACATATCTTGTATTTTTGGCAATGGCGCCAAAACATTTTCGAGTATGCGCACTTTAATGCATATTTATTGTTTTAATAACGTTAAGTGTAAGAGAATATGTGGTAATTTATTTATAATACATAGACAACGAGGTACTGTCACATTCGTCTTCAAATTCTCTTACAGCTCAACTTTCGTCCACTGGCTTCTCATGAATGTCGCATATTGCTTGGCGCCCACATTGTTGGCTTCCTCAAAGTATGCCAGCTCACCGAGACGGGCCAGCCAAGCGGTGATCTTTGGATATCGCTGCGGATCAATGTCGAAAACAGCTGGCAATGATGAGACAGTTGCGCCACAGCAGAAGTCAGCAATGGTCAACGAATCTCCCGCGATGTATGGCTTATCCAGCAAAACCTCGGTTAACCGCAGCGCCTCGTGAACATTGTCTGTCTTCTCCTTTGAGACCTCAGTAAGTCCCCTCATCCAGAACGCACTGCTAACATTCCACAACGCCTTGTAGATCACACTGGCATCGAAGAACAAACGTTGATTGACTCCCGTGCGCTTTACCAATTCTTTGGGATAAAGTGCATCCGTCTTGGCATACTTGTCGCACAAGTACATGCATATGGCATGTGAATCCCATACGAGAACTCCATTGTCATCCAGCAGCGGCACTGTGCCTTGTGGATTTTTCTTTAAATATTCCGGTGTGCGAGTCTCGCCTTCGGCAAGTTTTATCTCCTTGTATTCGAATGGCAGCTCCAGTGCTTTAAGTGTTAATAAACAAGCACGAACCGGTGGGGACATAATAATTCCATATAGCACGATCTTCGACATCTTGCTGTGGGTGTGGTTAACGCATCAACGCAATCAATTAAACTATAGCTGACCACAGCTTTTATGCCTTATATATATACGCGTCGGGCGCAAGATTTTCAAAGCTTAACGTCAAAGCTTTTGAAAGCTTTCAAGTGAGCATAAATTCATATAACGATGATAGCGCGGTTTTCAACTCTGGCAGAAGCTATTCTGATTTGTGATGAAATTTGTAACAGCATTTCTGACCCCACACACAATAACGGTGATTGTGCATTTTTCGTACCCCTGCACAGGCTTGGGGCATTAATTGAAATGTATTTATGTATGCTCGATATAAATCGGGCAAACCTTAAACTTACAATTCTGTTATGATAGCGATCCGACCAAAGTGCTGGGTATTTTCTAGTCGAGAATTGTTGTTTTCATTTATTTCACAATAATGATAGGCGTCATCTATTTGATCTGTAAAGCTTGGAAATAAGCTTCAAGAAAATAATGATGATCGTGCAAATTTTCACTTTCGGCATAGAAATATTGCGGCCTCCCTCGAATTCTTATCAAGCTATTGCGTCAGTTACCCACCAACGATTATTTGTATTGCCTTTCAGTAACAGGAGGTAAAAAGAAGAAAGGAAATGGAGAGCAGGTGATAATAAGAGTAAAAGAGAGAAAGGAAAATAAAATAAGAGAAGAAAAAGTATGGAGTGTGAACAGGATTCTAAATATAAAACTTATAATCAAAGGAAGAAATCCTCTTGAATTTCTGAGAATCACATAGGGAGGCAATATCTATATATATATATATTTTTTTTTTGTATTAAAAGGTTATGAAAACTTGGTTTGTGGTCTCCCACAAAATATTCAAACTAAAATAAAATTAGTAGTAGTAGTATTTGGAATATCCCTCTAAATTCTATTCGATGCGTTTAGCTGATTCTTTAGGATGGCCCACGTGCTCAGAGCTCCAGGATCACCGTACTCGGTTCAACGTATTCTTAAACCAATCTATAAAACCTGTGTTTGCCATTTACTGAATTTACATCAGTATCACGATGCTAAAAAGGGGGATGACACCTGCGAATTTGAGGCCTTCCAGTCGGGTCACTGTTCTGGCACAATGTTAGATGGTAAATGTCTGCGAATATTGCCGTGCAGCTGATTTATTAATACGATGCCTTGCAGTGGTTAGGGATATTCAGGCACAAATCGGTTTGGAACCGGGCTACAATTCCATACCCAAGTGCCGTGCCAATCTACTAAAGTATCAGCCGGAGCTAAAGGATCTGCCGGAGCGCAGTATGAAAGACTCCTTTACAACTGCCGTATTGCCACTGAGTACGATTGCGATCCGGGAGCGCTATGTCAACCATCTGGGTCTAGTTCGCATGGGACGTTTAATGGAGGAGCTGGACCTGTTTGCCGGTAAGCAAAATCCATTTGAGTGCCGCCAACACGACGACTTAATTTATGCCACGTTTGCAGTGTGGATCTGTCATCGTCATCTATGTATCCCGACATTGCCAAAGGGCATACCGGTGCCCTACAACTTTGTAACGCTTCTGTACGACAGCGTAGACTTTACGAATATCAATGAAATCTCGGCAGTTGAAGACATTGAGTTGTGTGGTCACGTCTCGTGGACCGGCAACAGCTCCATGGAGTTAACAATATATTTGCGACAGAAAATGCGAACCGTAGCCAAAGCCATAATTATGATGGTTGCACGAAATGCGACAAATACGAGATCGGCACCAGTTAATGCTCTAAAACCCGCCAACGAGGAGGAGAAGCTATGTTTCGAGAACTCCACCGAGCGGCAAAAGAAACGTATGGCCAAGCAATCGAAATCTGTGCTCAATGTGAAACCAACATTGAGCGACGAGCAGCTCATGTACGAGACCTTCAAGCGGACTAGAGGTACGGACGCATTGAGCGTGAATATGCCCGCCAAATTGCCACCGAATTGCAAATGGATGTCCGAATCCTTTCAAACGACCATGTTGCATGCGTTCCCCGAGAATCGCAATTCATACAATTACATTTTTGCCGGTTTCGTTATGCGCACCGCCGTGGAAATTAGCTTCATTGCCGCCTGTATTCATGCTGGCGGTCGTCCCTTGATCCAGTGCATAATGGACGTTGCGTTTTACCGGCCGCTGAAGGTGAACTCATTCCTGAAAGTGACCGCCTATGTTGTGTACACATTCGAAAGATATATGCAGCTTTTGACAATTGTGCAAGCCTTGGATGCGAACAGTATGGTACAGATAACAACAAACGTCCTGCATCTCACCTATAAGGCTGAAGGGAACGTCAAGGAGGTGCTCCCATCCAGCTATCAGGAGACATTGTGGTACATAAATGGACGCAACAAATTTGACGCCTTCCAGAAACTGAGGGGAACGCGGAAAGTTAATAAAAAATCGCAAAAAAGTGTACGAACCGGAGAAAAATAAAATTACAAAAAAAAAAAAAAACGTTTGCTTAAATAAATATATATGTATTGAATTGGGGGGTACCTAATTGCGCATGGGAACGCTTGACTTGGGCAATGCTTGCAGCCGCTGGCGACGTTTTGATTCAAACTCGGTGGCCAGGTGCCAGGTTTCCTTATCCAGCGCCCCGTTGCCGCGCGCAATGCCCAAAAGACGCGACAAAACCAACAGACCATGCAAATCATCAGCATTGCTCTTCACATTCGCCTTGCGCATGTCCACAAAGTGCTGCTGTATCATTTCCGTATGCTCCTCGCTCACGCTGAATTGGGTGATCCTCGACATGGTCAAATAGTTGCGGAACTGCTGCAGCCGCGCCGGCTGCAAATAGTGCAGAGCTGCCTTCAGAGATTCCTCATACAGCTCGACAGCCTTGCCATCGGCATTAATGGGCAGCACAAAGTCGCTCTGTAAATAAAGGAAAAAGTGTGCTTAATAACTTCTATTTATGTATCCAGTGCGAGTTGTCATTGCCTACCGGCAACATGCTGCGACCCTCGCTGAGCACCAGCACCGGAATATCAACGTTGTAGTCTATTTGATAATACTGAAAGTCGCACTTTAACTGCTGATTGTTGATCAGATTGGCCAGATGCTGTATGGCATGCACGCCGTTTGCCTCCAGCTTGCCCTGCTGCATGCGTGTCTCGTCCAGCAGCAAATGCGTGTGGGGTGCCAGCTGCAGCAGTCCAGAAACCAGCTTGTTTGTCTCGTAATCCTTTCTGTTGGCGGTAAAAAAGAGTTCAATTAGTTATTCAACGATTTAATGGATTGGTGGTAACTTACTTTGGTGCAAAGGCGGCCGTGTTCATGGTGTCCAGTGTCATGGGTAGATAGTGGCTGGCGGGTAGCAGTAGCTCAAGCACCTCGTATAGCTTTGTTGTGTACTGCTGCATGCATTCCTTGGGCAAATTGCAGATGTTTAGTGCAAATTTACCTATGCTCTGCATTTCGGAGCGGCTATAAACCGTAGAGATGAGATGACAGAGCAAATATTCGGCGGCAAGCTCGTCCTCAAATAGGCAGAGCTTAAGCAGCATTCGCAGGTCCTTGTGTACAGTTTCCAGGGATTGTTGCGTCAATCCCAGCTCTGGTATTGCGGGCTGCTGCAGACTCTGATCCAGCAGCGGATTAGCATGGCACAACGACTTGACGCCAAAGGCATGCAAGCGTGGTATTAGGAACGGCGATGGATTCTGTGCCTGTAGCTCACTTAAGCTTTCCACATCCCTCATGGCCTCAACATCAAGCGTGGATGCGTCCAGCGCTGGATCCACGGACAGAAAGCCCACGAAATCCATAAGAGAGTTAAGCGTGTACTTGTCAAAATCTTCGTATACCTTTATCATGCAGGCCATGCTTGGACGATCGGGCAGCGGCGAGTTGAGCAAATAGTCAGTGCCTAGCACGGCGGAGCTGCTGGCGGTAGTTTCCGCTTTAGGCTCAACTGCCACACATTGCCTTTTGGGTGAGCTAATGCCGCTCGATTCATCTGCTTTGTCTACTTCCATGTCTTCCTGTTCATCAAGCGAGCGTTTTATACCATTTCCAACCCCAGTCTGTTGACTTGTTGGGTTCTCCGTTTGAGGGTTACATAGTTTTTCATGCTCTTTGGCCCAGTCATTTAAGCCAGGTACCGACACAACGAACAATGTACGCCGCTCGCCATGCACATTGCTCTCGGCTTGGTAGTCCAGTTGCTCATCCTTGCCCAGGCGAAGACAATCGCGATATTTGCCTGGCTGTAGACGTGTGCTACCGTCGGCTGATTTCACCTCGTAGCGCTCCAAATAGATTTCTGGATCCATCATGTCCTGCACCATGCCGCGAAAACGCACCAGTCCCTGATCCCGCAATTTGTGCAGTGGCGTGTGATTTAGCAGCGGAATGGAGTGCCATTTTGTGGAGTCGTTGAGTAATTCTTTCCAGCGGGCACTGTCTTGATTCGTCAGCTCCTCCGGAGAGCTCGGCAATTCCGTGTTACAAGGCATCGCACAAATAAACAAATAATTACCGTCTGTTGCTGTCGCGTGCGCGCCAAATTGCAATGATAGTGATGGAAGAAACGCGATAGAAATATCTAGCAAGGGTGGCAACACTAAATCTGGCGAATCGGGCACTTATCGTAATCGTTTTGTGTTATCGAAAGCTGTAAATTAGGGCTGCGACGAAACGGATGTAAAGCGGAGTATCCGCAAATTAAATAATGAGCAAAAAGAGTCGCGTTTGGAATTTTTTCTATAAAGAAAGCGATACTGTCGCAATTTGTTGCCTGTGCCACAAAAACTATTCACGCAAGGGTCGCGGCACAACATGTCTGCGAAATCATTTAAAGAGCAAGCATCCTGCCGAATTCCTAACACTATCCGAAAACGACATGAAGTACATGGTGAAAACGGAAATAAACGATAGCTCAACCGCCAACACGAACTTGCAGCTACACGTAAAAAAAACGAAATGTACTTTGAAACATTATTCGCAGTTTTATTAAAAACAATTACTATTATTCCAGGATACAGATCCATTGGAAGTCCAAAGGCCTATTGACTCGGACGAAGCTTATGAGTGCGATGAGAAATTGGCCCTAATGATAGCCCAACATGATTATTCCTTTGGTTTGATAAAAGATGCTGGATTTGTTAACTTTATCAAAGTACTACAGCCGCGATATACTATTAATACCATAGGCTATTATGAGAATATGATATGCCAAGACATATATCAGCGCATGCAGGCGCAATTAAAGCAACAACTGGTCATGCTGGAGTCCGTATCGCTGGCAACAAGCATCTGGTGGGGATCAGGCGACCAAGGCTTGCTCAGCCTAAGCTGTCATGGCATATTCAGTGACTTTCAGCCCAAGCATTTGCACTTGAAATGCGAAGCCCTGGACAAACGACAGACGGAAGAAGTTGCTTGCCGCATTCCCAATATGATATCCAATGCCATCCACGAGCTGCAGCTACCCAAAGAGAAGATTAACTGCATCATTAGAGATGAAGGCACCTGTACACAGGGCGCTGTCGTAGAGTGCAGTGTTCATCTGCTAAAACTGTGTGTGAAATGTGCAATTGAGTCGAATGAGCACCTGCAGCAATTGGATGCCAAATGTCTACAAATCGCCAAACACTTTGAACAATCCCCCATTGCGTATAATAATTTGAAATATATTCACGAGAGGCGTTTGAATCGAGAGCCATTTCCGTTAATGGAGTCCAATGTAACCCAGTTAAGCTGGAATGCAATATTTCGTTTAAAAGCTCGCCTGCTCAAACTAAAAGATGCTCTCTCAATTTATGCAGAAGAATATAATATGGTAAAAATGTATCCGGATGAATGGCTGGATATTGATTTGGGTAATCGTGTCATCCAACCCATTGAAGAAATTATCAGTATTTGGAGTGATACCTCAGCGACAGCCTCCTCTGTCATACCGCTAATAGCAGCTCTGCGGGATTCGCTTCGCACAGATGTGCACAACTTTGTGTCTTCAGTGGTAATGTCCTATAAATATCAGAAATATATATATGTTTCAAAAATGTTTAATTTCTTACAGACCATTTGCTCGTTTGCTCGAAAACTTCTCGAGGAGCTGGAATCCAAATGCTCCACAGTTATCACGGATATCAAATATTTAATGGCCACATATTTGGATCCGCGTTACAAGCAAGCGTTTTTTACGCAGCAGGAAGCGCAGCTGGTCACAGATGAGGTCTTGACACAACTGTGCAGATCCCACCTCCAGCAATGGCAGCCACCAATGAAGATCGTTAAAGTTGTTCCCAATGCTAAAAACGAATCGAAGATTGACTCGTTTCTTGACAACATGCTCACACCAGCCAACTCCAGTTCGGAACCCTCCACATCGTTTCATTCCCAATCGCAACTGAAAAACTTGTTGTATTTGTACAACTCCGAACCCAGAATTGAGCGCCAAAGCGATCCATTGACTTGGTGGCGATCCAATAATAAGTATAGCGCCATGTTTCCAATTGTAAGACGATATCTATCCACTCCTGCCGCTAGTATTGCCAGTGAGCGGTTGTTCAGTGCATCTAAAAACCTTTTTAGTGATATGCGATCGGGTCTGTGTCCCGAAAATGTTTCAAAAATATTGTTTGTCAAAGCTAACCTTGAGGCTCTAGGGCAAGAATAGTAATGTATTATTTAAATAAAATATTGGCTTGTTAAATTATGACTCAATAACCTGTAGCTATTTTTAATGAGCCACAGTTTACTCGTAAGGCAATCGACTGCTGTTAAATATCAATTCTTTCAATTCTCGGATTGTCCCAATCAACCAAGTAACATACTCAATTCTGAAGGAATCTTCGATATCTCCTTGGCGAGCTTTAAGTGGAATTCGAATACGAAACAAGTTTCGGGCAATTTAACCTCTGCCTGGAATATTCAACCCGGTGATCGCATTCAAGTAAATGAATAAAATCGAATTAAATTTAAATAAATTAAACTACAATAAATATTTTCAGGCAAATCTAGCAATGTATCGGCATAATTTTGGAACCTGGCAGACAACACCAATCAGTGTGTCTCTCTTTAACTTCTGCCAAGCTCTGTTTGACAAAGATTAATGTATATCCTTTTTTGGCCAAATCAACGGATTTTCCAAAAAATTTACATTTTCTACTCTGTCACACCTTTTGAACTGTATAATTAATATTACGTTCAAATTTAAGTTACATTTTATTCTTATAATTAAGTGAATGGGTTGTTAATTTTATATTATTTTTTATTACCCCAGAGGACAGGTCAGCCTCTATAGTCGGGATCATTGTGTTCCTCCTCATCTTCCTCTTCCTCGTCATCTTCATCTAAATGAATAACAATGTTTAATATTGTGTCAGCTGTATTGATCGCCAGTAACTTACCATGATCTCTGCGCTTGCGTGTGTATGCACGACGTGTGGCCACCGGCGCCTGATCGGTCTCGCCGTGCAGCAGGGAGTTGCGATAGAGTATCAAGGGCTGCCATTCCTCGGCTCGGCTCGATGGCATGCCCGGCGGTATGACCTTGTCTAGGAAGGCCATAATTACCTTTTTGTCCTGCTTTAACAATTTATAGTTAAACTCATTAAGCACCTCCAGAAACAATAGGCGAGTCGGTGCTCGCACTGGATCGTCGGGCTGTTTATTGGCAGCAAAGTAAATACCGCCACGATGTATGGATGCAACCGAATCGCGATTTTTAAGCGCATCGAAGCCAAAAGTAAGCGCAAATCGTTTTGCCAACTCCTTTAGGTCAATAAATTCCTGTGAGCTTTTTGATACAACGCCATCATCGCTCTGCTCCTGCAGACTCTTAAATACGGTGATGAGACTCAGCAGCAGCGTCATCGCAAAGTTGACCTTATTGATTTCGCGGGCCTTGCCCAGCGTCGCCTTTATAATGTCGCCATACTCGTTATAGCACTGTAAATAAGTATTTAAATAAAGCCAAGTCTAGGACAGATTTGTGTGGCAAGAGATATACCTTGACATAGTATTTGAAGATGCTCGCCGCACGCATCGTAGGTATTATGTTGTAGACAATTAGCTTGCAATAGCAGGCCAAGAAGTTGCGTTTTTTGTGCAGCTCCTCGATGCGCGTTTCATCCTGGGCAACAACTTGCTTTAGCGAGAACACATAGTGCTGCACAAAGTTGTCCAATATGAGATGCTCGTCCATGCGGGACTTGTACTCCAAGCTGCGTATATGCTCACTCTCGCTGCGCGCCAACTGATCCGAGTAGATTATAAGCAGATCACAGATGGACTGGTAGGCCTGTCAAAAATAAAGCAGTATATTATTAGATATTTCGCTAATATAGATGAATAATACAATATACGTACAGCCTCTTGAATCTGGACAGTGGGTCCATCGCGGGTCAGCTCAAAGCAGGCGGACATGAAGCTGTCCAAGTTGCCGCGCAGCTCGGCAACTGCCTGAGCCACATTCAGCGTCTCGCAGTCATTCTCGACATAGTAGAGGCCCCAGCTAATCGAGAAGTAGCAGGCCTCTATGCAATAGGCCAGCGCCTCGTTGGGCAGGCAACGTTCAACATTGTCCTTGCACTGAGCCTCCTCGACGTCACGGAATAGGGATTTGAATAGGTCCCACGGATTCAGATTGTGCGACGAATACAAAATTGACAGCACTTTTAGCGTTATGGTTATATTGTAGATATCATCCTCATTTGGTGTCTCCTCGCCTGCAAATAAAAACAAAATAAAATTAGTATTAACAATTGAAAAAGACAACTTTCAAATGACTAAACTATATAAAAGAATATATATATATTCCATTTACCATTTGAACTGCTCAGGGGAGCTCAGGGCAGAATGAGCCTCTCTAGGAGCTCACATCAATACACTGATCTTTATACAAAAACACCACGTCAGAATCTGCGCCGGCCGCATCACACACTCAACTAAACGGCAGCTCAGGCCAGAATGGGCCTCTCTTGGAGCTCACATCAATACACTGATCTTTATACAAAAGCACCACGTCAGGTTCTGCGCCGGCCGCATCACACACTCAACTAAACGGCAGCTCAGGCCAGAATGGGCCTCTCTAGGAGCTGACATCAATACACTGATCTTTATACAAAAACACCACGTCAGGATCTGCGCCGGCCGCATCACACACTCAACTAAACGGCAGCTCAGGCCAGAATGGGCCTCTCTTGGAGCTCACATCAATACACTGATCTTTATACAAAAGCACCACGTCAGGTTCTGCGCCGGCCGCATCACACACTCAACTAAACGGCAGCTCAGGCCAGAATGGGCCTCTCTAGGAGCTGACATCAATACACTGATCTTTATACAAAAGCACCACGTCAGGATCTGCGCCGGCCGCATCACACACTCAACTAAACGGCAGCTCAGGCCAGAATCGGCCTCACTATGAGCTCACAAACACACACGCACAAAACACCACAAGTCACGATCTGCACCGGGCCGCCGCGCAGCTTCAACTGAGGAGCTGCTGCACTGTGCAGCCCTATTTATACAGCCTCCGCCTCTGTTAAGTTGAGTTCTGTTAATAACATTTATGTTAATAACATTTATGTTAAGTACATTTATGTTATGTTAAGCTGATTTATGTTATGTTAAACTATGTTATGTTAACTGATGCTATTTTAAGTACATTAAGCATATGTTAAGTTAATATTATATTATGCTGCTAAGGTTATTTCGCAATATTAAACAGCGACTCACCCAAAATCAGATTGCGCCACTCAACGATGGTATCCTTGTACTTGTTGACCGCATTCTCGATGATGTTGGAGCGCGCAATGTTGCAGCGGGTGTAAGTGGCGCTGCCCTCGGCGCAGAGACACTCCAGTGTCTTGGCGCAAGTCTCGAGTACGTCGCGGCCGGTGTGCATGCACATTACCTGACTGATTTTGTCGAGCAGCGCCTGCAGGTTGCCCTCCTGTCGGTTGGTGGTGTACAGATTTAGATCAAAGTACTGTGGCACAGCCAGCAAATTGGCCAGTTTCTCGCTGTCAGCCTGATACTTTTCCAACAGAGCCGGCAGAGTCACAATGAAATGCTCCGTCAGTTTGACCTTCTCGTCCTGTATAGCCTTTAGCTCCTTGGAGCTAAGCGTAAACTTGCGATTGCTGGCACGTCCCACGGGCACCTCGCCCGATGCCGATTGCTTTACACTGCTCACCATTATTTCAATGAGTGTGGACTCCTGTTTGTTGTCGAGCACCTCTTCATTGGGCCCGGGCTCCTCTAGCAGCAGATCCGTCATACATTCCCAATCACGCACCATCTCATTGCTATCAATGAACGAGTCGACCAAATATGCGCCATGTTCGTGCAGCTCCGATTCAATAAAAAATTGCACTAGATCGCGTATAAGTGGCGTATTGGGCAGACGCAGTTTGCCGCGTTTGGTCTTCGTTTCCTCCATGTCGGCAGTGAGGTGGAACAAACGCACATTCAGAAATTCTGCAGCGGCCTGTGCAACACCCCGATGTGATGAGTAGACCAGCTCGTAAACGATCTCACAATCCTTATCAGCCAATATTTCCGGATGTATTCTAAAACATATGCAATCATTTACATAAGTTGTTTTTTTTTTAAATGTTTTTTTTGTGGACTTACTTTAGTATGCTGATAACCAGTTTAACTGCGTGGACGGACACCTCAAATTCCTTGTCCAATGTCATAGCCACAATTCTGTCTTTGAACTTGGATGTGAACAGCTCCAATTTGCCCTTAAGCTCCTCCTTGTCATAGAGCGGCAGCAGCGATTGCAAACATCGTAGGCGTACCTCGCCAATTTTATCGTGTAACGTCCAGCCAATATACTTTAAATATGAATCATCGAGGAAATTTTGTGGATAATTTTCCATCCAGATGCCAATCTCAGCCATGCAAATGGCTCGTATATCCGGCAACGTGTCTCTGTAGCGATGCACAAACACCGATTTGAACATGTAGGTTAACATGCTTTTGATCTCATCCATATTTTCCTCCAGCTCCGAACGTTTTGTCATCAATGAGTCCAAGCGATCCGATGCGCGTCGATCGCGCGACTAAAAGACATAACAAATTTTTAGAATATGAATATAAGGTATACATGAAACATTCAAGGCGCTTCTAACCTTGACACGTTCGGCCTCAAATTGTTTAGCTGCATTTTCAAAATTATTGGATACGAGGAGGGCAACATCCACCAAGGCGGTCATCAATTTCATGGCCGCCAATGTTGCGGTATGACGAAAGGCGCGCACTTGAGAGTCGGAGAGTCCCGTCAACAGCGATATAACGTTATCCATTAAAAACTGATCGTAGATAATGGAATACTGGCATTGTTTAACAAGTGTTTGTACAAAATCACAGAAATTATTTTTGAATTTCTTCCATTGTGTGCCGGTCATGATTAATGGATACTCGCCGCTTTCCTAAAAACAAAATTAATTGCAATCTGAGCAGGTGATTTTAATGATTTGAGATGTTCCTTTTATTTACCTCATCAAATTCCTCCGTCATGCGGCGAATAATAGCCGTATGATCAACGGGATATTGTATATCCTCCGATATTTTGCCCTTACAGCCGCTGGCGTTTATGAAGAACTGCATCAATGCGACGAGCGCTGTCTCCCGATTCCCCTTGTACTGCCCAATCCACTGGTCAACGATGCTCTGCATTAAGGATAGTATTTGTTAGTTAGGCTCAAATTAGTCTTCATGCAAAACCTCTGCAGACCAAATGGTCAAATAAATTTTGTTTATAATTACCGCAATGGGATTTTTAGAATGTCGCACAATATAGTACAGGCTGTTCTCGTCAGTGGTAATTTCACGCTCATTGTCTATGCGTTCATGGTGTGCCTTCTCCACGGGCTCCTTGCGTGGCCGCTCAATGCGTTCCTTGCGCTCCGCTGGAGGTTTGCGTGCTTGCGGCGTCTTCCTTTTGCGTGAAACTGGGGCAAAGAACTCATCCTCGTCGTCATCAATGATTGGCGGCTTGTCACGCACACCACCGCGTGCCCGCAGGCGCGTCATGCGCTTGGTGGGACTGTCTGCATCAGATGTGCTTTCATTTAAGGCATCGCTGTTGGAACAGATATTTCAATTAAAACTTGAATATGGGGCTTGGGTTTGTACATCTATGTATATATTTTACCTGTGCAGCTCGTCGTATTCCGGAGCCGGAGGCGGATCATCCATACGTATGCGCTTTCCACCTCGGCGCGCCATCATGTTGATTTATCAACTGGTGGCCAATTTAAAAGGATTTATTTATACTTTTATAAACAATGTTTTTGCGTATGAAAAAAAAGCGCGATAGCGTCAATGGAAAGCAGCAATTGGGGATGGCAGCGTAAAGCCACCAATACTATCGTTTCGAGATATCGATAAATTCAAAACGATAGAAAGAGAAAAAGCATTTGTTTATACTAGCCCAACGAACAATTGAGAGCGAGTGAAAGAGAAATAGCATATGTACAGGTATTGCTACAACGAAAAATCACCAATACTATCGAGTATGTATATCGATGCCCAATGGCAAAAGTAAAGAAAGCAGCGTCTGTTTTGATTTAGAGCACATCAATAATAAATAAACAATTACAATATAATAGTAAAACCAATTAAATATGACTGAATTTGGTGCGGAATCGGGCGGACGATTGAAGGGCGTCACCATTGTGAAGCCGATTGTGTATGGCAATAAGGCACGCTCCTTCGGCAAGAAACGTGAAGAGGATGGCCATACGCATCAATGGCAGGTTTATCTGAAGCCCTACTACGATGAGGATATGTCGATTTATGTGAAGAAAGTGCACTTCAAATTGCACGAGAGCTATGCGAATCCAAATCGCATTGTGGTCAAGCCACCATACGAAATTACAGAAACCGGCTGGGGTGAATTCGAGGTTGTCATTAAGATTTATTTCAATGATCCCTCCGAGCGGCCGGTGACTTGTTACCACATATTAAAGCTGTTCCAGTCACCCGTCGTGGACGGTGAGCTAACCTCCTCCACGACGATGGATACCAAAAAGGGTCTGGTATCAGAATCCTATGAGGAAATCGTTTTCCAAGAGCCCACACAGATTATGCAGCATTATCTCTTGCTCTCCGAGCAAAGTGCCAATGGATTGCTCAACCATGACACGGATTGTAAATATAAAACTGTATAAAATTGAACTCGATCTGTTTATGTACCTAAACCATTTCAGTTGAGGAAAAAAAAGGAAAAACGCTGGACAACATTGTCAACGTGAAGCAAAAAGTCAAGAGCGAGATCGTGACTCTAAAGGATAAGCTGAAACTGGCTCGAGAAACTATTGTTAAATTTAAAGCAGAGTTAGCTAAAGTCCAAAAGCCGCCAGCCTAAATTCTTAATTAAGAAATATTCATTTTAAGTGTATCTAATAAAGTATGTTGTAGAATACATTTCAGTTTATTCATGGTTTTTTTTTCAGAAGCGTTGCAACAGCTGCATTGTTTTCTTGAGAAAGTATATAATACACATGTATATAGACTACCTAAGCCATAAAATGTTCATATTATTAAAATTATTGCTGTGTTGCACGCAGGTTCTGCCAGCTGTAAAGAGTTGTAGGTAAGTGCATTCATTCAGTTCCAGCTGGGTATCTTTCACATACACACACAAACACGCAAGCATCCACTTGCACTTACCCATGCATATGTGCTAAATGAACCATTGAACCAGTCAAAGATTTTAGTTTAGCTGAATGAACCAGTACACTTGAACTGGCGTCGCAGTCGCGTTTGCAGCATCCAATTTCGATGGCAAGAAATAAAATGTTATTGTTTATTTGTACAAGTTGTTAAGTGTATATGCATGTCGGGTAACTTGTAAACGAAAAATGAACACAATTCGTTGTTAACAGTTAACGAGCATATAATGAGCGAACATACGACTGTATAAAGTTAAAAAAGACAAAACCAGCTTCAACCTCTGCGCAAACGCGTCGGCTAGTTTAAGTCGAGAACCGAACAAAAGCAAGGGAACACCTTAAGCAGGTAAGCATGCGCATTACCTGTTGCCCACATCCAGCATATCTAATATGTTGTATACAGGCATTGTTTTTGACATTTTGGATCTAAAGTCGTTAAAACTGCACAGCTTTGGCATTGTAATTAGTTTTACCTTTTGCAGCAGTGCCCCCAAATGTCGCTGACGCGACGCTTCAGTTTGACGCTGCTGCTGCTGCTACCGCTGCTGACGTCGTTGCTTGCAGCAATTCCGGTTTTACAGGCCAACTTGTCGCCTGCGCCGTCGTCGTCGCCTGGGCCAGGCGTGCGAATACTGCGCGCGCCTGAATCGACAGTGGCGCCACCTGGCGACGAGGTGGTGTTTGTGTGTGAGACCAGCTTGCCGCCGGAATATTTCGAATGGAGCTACGCATCGAGCCGCAGTCATCCGCCACGTTTTAAATATTTAAAATCGAGCAGCGCCAAAGCCAATCATAATATAACTATTACACACAATAATGACATATCCAAGCTGCGCGTCATTGTGCGCCCCGAGACCTTGGGCGAGTATCGTTGTGTCGCCTGGTTTGGACCACTGGCCGTCACATCCACCACAGCGCGTCTGGAGATGGCCAGCATAAGTGGAGATGGCGCTGACACTGACCAGCGGGCGCATTGGCGTGTTGCGGCCGGCAATACTGTGCTCTGGCACTGTGGCCAGGTGGCTTCGAATCCGGCGCCCAGCTGGAGCTTCTATTACAATGACAACGAGATGCCACCAGCTTCTACGCTCAGCGATTCCAATGGCACGCTCCTGCTGCCGCATGTTTCCGCGGCGAGCAGCGGCAGCTACAGCTGCGTGGCCACCAACACGGCATCTGGAGTGCGCCTGGCGTTGCCCAGCCGATTGGAACTGCAAGTGCCGGCTGCGGCCTTGGCCAGCACAGCTCCAGCACTGCTCAATGGGCAGCGTGTGCGCACTCAGGTGTTCGCCAAGGCAGGCGAGACTGTGCTGTTGCTGTGTCCGGGCGTGGGCTATCCGCCACCGACTGCTGTCTGGAGCAGCCCCAATGTGCCCGGCGCTGTCTACAACAACCGGACGCGTGTGCTGCCCTATGGACTGCAGATTAGTGCACTGCAGCCACTGGATGCGGGCACCTATATATGCTATCTGGACAATGGCATACGGCCCGCTCTGGAGCACTTCATTGAGCTGGTCGTGCAGAAGTCGCCGCGTATCTTGCGCCCGCCCACAGCCAATTTGACCAACGAGGGTGAGCGCATGCAGCTGGAGTGTGAGGCCACGGGAATGCCAAAGCCAGAGATCTACTGGCTGCTCAATGGCGAAAGTAGCGTCTACGATGTCGAAGCGGAGCAGGTGCCCAATGGCCACCTAATCCTGCACAGCGTGCAAAAGCGACATGCCGGCTACGTGCAATGCTTTGCAAGAAATTCGCTCGGCGAGCACAGCGCCGGCACACTGCTTCAGGTCAATCCCAAACAGTTACCGGACGGCGAGGGCACGGGCATGGACTCGGGCAGGTCGTCCGCTCGACCCACGCACAGTCGCAAACAGAAGCAACAGACGCAAATGGTGCCGCCGTCGGCGCCAAATGTAACGCGGCTCTCGGACGAGTCCGTCATGCTGCGCTGGCATGTGGTACGCAACGATGGCTTGCCCATACAGTTCTTCAAGGTGCAATATCGTATGCTCACGGAGAGCGGCAAGCGCAAGAGCTGGCAGACGACCAACGAAAACATACCCTACGGAAGACAGCGTCACGAATCGGGCGCGGGTGTGCGAAACTTTACGTCATCTGTGACGGGCCTAAAGCCGAATAGCAGCTATCGTTTCCGCATCATGGCCGTTTACTCCAACAATGACAACAAGGAGAGCAACACCTCCGGCAAGTTCTTTTTGCAGCGCGGCGCTGCACTGGCGCCGTTAGCCGTCCCGGAGCTGGTGGACATTGAGGAGTACTCGCAAACGGCTGTGGTGCTTCACTGGCGTCTGTCCAGCGATGCGGACGAGCAGCTGATATCCGGCTACTATGCCTATTATCGGCCCTCAGCCTCCGCTGGCGAGTATCTGAAGGCCACCATCGATGGCGCCAAGTCGCGCAGCTTTCAAATCTCTGCCCTGGAGCCGGGCACCATCTACGAATTCAAACTGCAATCCTTTAGCGCGGTGGCCGCCTCCGAGTTCAGTGCCTTGAAGCAGGGACGCACACAGCGGCCCAGGGCCAGTAGCACGCCGCAGCCGGTGCTGCATGCCGTGGATACGACCACGCCCAGCCATAACGAGACGTTCAACATGAATCCAATGCTCACGGGCACCATTGGCGGCGGTGCCCTGCTGGTGCTGCTCGTGATCAGCGCCTGTCTATGCCTGTGCCGACGTCGTAGCTCGCGCGGCAACAATCCGCAGCACAAGCCGCGTCTAGCGGAGCTGCGCGAGGACTTTGTGCCACTGAACACATGCTCTCCCAACAAGCCACGCACACGACATATACACATAACGCTGAACCCGCTGGCCCAACAGCAGCAGCAGCAGCAGCAGCAGCAGCTGCAGCAACAGCAGCACGACGAGAAGGAGGCACAGGACAACGATATGGGCTACTTTCAACGCCAGCCGGTTGTCTACGATGCGGAAACGTTGGGCTTCAATGGACTCGCACGCATGTCGTCCTCCTCGCTACGACGCTCGCAGCGCACGCTGGAACGTGCCGCTGCCGGTGGCGGCTCCGGCGGCAACAATAACAATCTTAATCAGCCCGGGGATGGTTCGCTGGCCAACTCTGCGGACAGTCCTCGGCTGCAGGCATCCAATAAGCCGGGCCGTGTCATTCTTAAGCGTGCCCGCTTGTCCAGCCGCTCGGAGAATCTCTCATCGGGCAGCCTAAACAGCGTGGGCGTCTAACTCGTGATCTTTAGTCTATATTCACATATATATGTATATATATATATATTTATATATATATATATATACCATATATCTGTATGTACGCTATTCCTCTACCTCTACTTTTTAAACTTCAAATGACATCTACTTAAACAGTTTGTACTTGTGTATACAAATGCTTTAGCTCCTAAGTACTTAATTAGTTTTCTACAATTTATTATATATGTATTACATATATGGAGCGTGTTTAGCTCAAATGTGCATTTTTATAGTCTAGTTTATGGACATACGCATAACATAGTTAGTCTTCCACATTTTGATATAAGTTGAAATTCTGTACTGATAGCTTCATAGTTTTATAAAAAAATGACAATAAAATTTGCTAACTTTCCGAAAAAAAAAAAACAAAACAAAAACAAAAATGCCTATATCATTAATAATTTAACCAAATGTGTATGTATATTACACATTAGAATGCCCAACAAGTTTAAGCTTCGGGCAAGGCGTTTGCAAAACCTGCTTATGGAAGATATGTAGATAAAAACAGACCGTGAGTTATTTGCAAACGGTATGCAGACAACCTGATCACATTTTCCAAGTTGTTTATCGCTTGTTTAATACAATAAAAAAATTTGAAGACGGCAGCTTTCTGGCTCGGAGTTACATTTGTCACCCCTCAAACATTTATCTTTGCAAATATTTGTAATTATTTTGACAGCTGTTCCTGGCAACAAAATGCATATTTATGATTCTGATAAGACCAGTTTTTAAGTTTAAAAAACAGCTTCTTGTATGTGCATGCCATATATACGCGTAATACCTATTTATAATGCAGGTAACTTACAGTTTGAATTCAAATTTCTTAACGATAGACAACGGATAAGTTATCGGTCGATAACATAAAATGCGTCTCTGTGTGGAAAAATGATGGCAACCTTCTCAGCTGTCAGCTGTCAAACCACCTAAAATAATTGGGTCGAACCAAAATTTCTAATAGTAACATTTTAGGTGGTTTTTCTTATTTGTAAAATTCAAATGGTTTGCAATTAGTGTAAAGCGCAGAAAATTAAACAGGTCCCAGGTCCCCCCGAGTTTATTGCGTAAGTTGAAGCATGCAGCAAAAAATACACACAAATACAGATCAAGGCTATAGCTGTTCATTGTTACAGTTTGCGAGGCCTGGTGCGAACAAAAGGAACAAGAATTGGGAATCTAAAGAGGAAATTAGAATTCGGAAAGAGGATCGGCAACATGTCGAACCTATCAGTGGGACAGATGATAATGGATGCACAGCGTATGGCCAGTCGCGTCAAGGATTTGGATGCACTGGGCACAGCTCTGCTGGAAGAGGCAGAGACCAATAATCGCCTAGTGGAGAGCTTGCGGCAATACCAGGAGGATATTGAATCACTGAATCGCGTGGCGAATAACAAAACGAATGTGGATATGGTGAATCGCATACAGCAACAGAATGTCAACAGCTCTGAGATACTTAAAGAGAATCGCGAGCTGAAGATCTGTATTGAAGACTACGAACGGGCCATGGAACTGATGATGCAGAAGTATCGCGAACACACCGTAACGAAGGTCCTGGACAGCAAATTTAACTTTAAGGAGCTGTACAACGAACGCCTGTGGCAGGTGATACGCGAACAGCGCGAAAAGATCAACGAAATGGCGGCGGTCATGCATCGAGCGGCCACTGCAGATGATGAGAATGTGCAGCGGGAACTGCAGACAATATCACAGCTGCGCATGGAGAATGAAACGCTGCGCGAACTGCTGCAAATCTCCAAGCAGTTCGGTTCAGCGCAGCGGCCAATACGTGAAGGCGATCATCTGCTTGAGGAGAAAGCGGTGCAAACGGACAGCCAGGCGGATGATTCTGCGGACGATCTGTCCATATCTGGTGCTTCGGTGGAAAACATGAACAACAATTCTGTCATACAGATGTACGGCAGCCCAGAGGTCGCCAGCAGCACCAGCAATACCAGTACCAATTCAGCAAACACTGCCTCAGTAAACGCGCCCAGCGCTGCTCAGTCAACCAACACAGTTGTAGATGCTGCTGCTGCAGCTGCTGTGGCTACTGTGGAGAACACAAACGCCAATGAGAATAACAACGGTCCTGCTGCTCTCAGCACGCCAGAGACGCCAGGCAAGGCAGCGGCGACGACAACGACAACGACGACGACGCCCAACGACGGCGAGGAAGAGCACGCGGTGCCCGTTTTGGGTGCAGTTGCAATTGGTGCCAACGCAACATGATAGGTGCTGATACAGCAATGTCTGGATCGCATTGTCGTCATTGTCATCTCCAGTCAATCATTGTTAATTTGTAATCGCTAAGCAGCACATCTTTGATTTCCGGCGAAACGCATTCATCTAATTAACAACACACAAAGAAACCAACACTCAATCATATGTACACCCATTAATTATATAGTTACTCTGCATTAGTTCATAGCGACTAATAATCTCTAAGTAATTTATACATACATACATACAAGTCTCATCGAAATCTAATACACACTCACACTCTATAATCCATGTTGTACTATGTCGACTTATGATTTCTTAATAAATACCATAATAGAAACTGATTGAATTGTGATTTGATGCGATTTTCATCAATGTGAGCGTACAATTGAATAGAAAATTGTTCGAGTCATGCTTTGATGTGTATTTGTAGCTTTGCCCTTTTAATTGCATTAGGCTTCTAACAAATTAGAATAAATTGAACAATAGAATCTTAATGTGTGCAGCCACTCACAGCAGCTCACCAGATCTTGAATAATAAACAATGAACCAAACTAAAGTATCTAGCTTTATATTTATTTTAAAAACTCTGATTGGACGTAATCTTAAAATGTATCTTAAATCCTTCAGATTTGTAGAGAATACCACAGAACAGGGTATCGTTGGTCAGTTAAACTCTTTGCTCGCATATCTCAAATTGAAGACAAATTTGAGTGAGAGCGAGAGATTGGTCGTCGAATCGCTTGCAGTCTGTGTGGCTAGTTTGAGCTTTTTGAAATGATTTAAATTTAGTTTCTCGTCGATTTTCAAAACGTTCGCAACGTAAAAGACACGGAAAACGCGTCAGCCCGGAAAACGCTTTGCCCGTGCAATTGGTGCGAAAGAGATGCAGCGATCCGTATAAGTATATTTCGAGTGCTCGAGCGAAAAAATTAAAGCATATGCATATATATATATATTTATATAGCTGTATGTGTATGTGCGTCAAGTGAAAAATCCAATTTGGAAAAGTTGCTCGCCGTGAAAATTCGAAATTCTGTAATCGAAAAGTAAACAAATATTATTTTATATGCTATTCTATGGCAAAAATATTCAAAGATAAAGTTTTGTGAAAAGTTTGCATTTGAGTATTCATTATGGGTTCATATTGAAAGTGCGCTGCCATTTACGAAAATTTGTGTTCTATTTTTAAAACACAGCTAATTTTTCAGCCTCACAAATTTGTGTGTAAAGTGAATATTCCAAAAGTGAAACAAACAAAACGCGAAAGAACAAGAAATTGAAGCCAGCAAAAATCGAAATGCTGAAAGTGCATTTTTAAATCTCTTATTTCTTATTCGAATATATGCCATATGTGCAATTTAAAGGAAATCGACAAAAAACCAAAACCTGTTACGCAATTAACCATTTGGTAAATGAAAAGTTGCGCACAGTTTGCGGCCGTCTCGCAGAGATCAGGAGCAGATGCACCAGCTGCCGCGTGGCCCCGTTCCCACTTGCCCAGCTCCAAATTCATCTAAATGCGGATTCATTTTGTGTAAGCCAAATGCTCGAAATTAGCAAACAGTCCACAAGCAAATCGAATATATATATCTATATCTATTATATACTTGGGTTAAAACGTTGATAATTATTTTTAACGTGCTAGGGATTTGCAATGTTGTTGTCCCCCTTGCCAAGAGTAAGATGCCAGGGCGCACGCTCACTGAGTAGAATCTCTCAAGTGGGCTCTTTTGAGCCAATCAATTTATCACTCAATTTTATTTATTTTTTTTTTTTGCCGCAAAACATGCGCAAACTTGCGATCTCCGGCTGCGCGTTGCCCACCTGTGGAGAGCTCGGGTATTCTCTGCCTTACTCTCGCTCGCTCTCTGGCTCTCTTGCGCGCTCTCTCTCTCTCTCTCTCTCTCTCTCTCTCTCTCTCTCTCTGCTGAGAATCTAAAAATGGCTAGAAGTGTAAACATTTGCCATTGTTTATATTTACAAATAAGCTCATGCCTATCTCTATAAACAATGCAGCAAGTCCATATAACTGGATCAGGTCTTTATTAAATATTGCCTATTTAAATAATTTTGTTTTTTTTTTTTTTTGGTTTTTTCAAAGTGGCTCGTAAATTTAAATTTAATACAAAGTGTGTATTTAGAAATTTTTTAATTAGCTTCAAATATAGACAAAGACGAGATTTTTTATTATTTTTATATTCCAAAATCCAAACTATTTTTTTAAAAATCTTTCTCTTATACTATAATAAATTTATTGACTTTTTTTTTATGCAAACTATTTCAAAATTGTTTAACTAATTAATGTGAAATTTTAGATTATTAAACTATTGACAAGCTGGCGAGATTTGTTATTTATTTATCATCCATAGTATACCCCATATCATCTGGTACTTCATCTTCTGGAAGATCACCTTCTTGATTTACGGGCAATTACGTTCAAGGTTTATTGATCTATGTCACTATAAATATTCAAGTATTACGTTTAAGATCTTTGTGGGTTTACAGAATTACGGAATAGTCAATACAAATGCGAACATCTCTCTTTGCCACAAAATGTTCTAAATTTCATGTACAACATTCTTCAGTTCGCTTGGATCGATGCCAAAAATTCCACTTCGTTGTCTTAAATGAAAACGTTTAAATTTAGTTGATGCCCTGCATATGATAGTGTCTACTGCAAATATAAAGCGCATAGCATATGCAAATGGGTATTACCAGGCGAAAATTGCGAAAAATACGTTAAGCAGACAATTTTCGAAGAATTTTAAAGTTCGCCATTTCCATTAACGAGTCGATAAAACAATTTTGAAACAAATAAAGATATCACATACTTAAGGACTTTAAACGAAAACTGATTGAAATGAGCTGCAGCCAACTATACGTGCAGAGAAATAAACTTATTTTAAGTTTGCAAAATTGTTGACAACTACGAATGTTGTCAGTAGATAAAACACACAATTAGTATTTAATAAAATATGTGATATTTAAGTTTTATATATATAATTTTTTTCCTGAACTTACAGAGAAGGCAAAGCTGATTATTCATTTAAGAACAGATGCATCATCTGTACCCATCGCTGAAAGGCGATCAGCTCTGCCCGCTCGGCTTCCATCCGCAGACACGTTATCCAACAAGATGTAAACGTTGTTTTCGCGATTATAAGGAACATGGAGCCCGGCGAGGTGGCGACGATGTTGCCGCATCCTCGCCAAATCTTTCAGATGCCCAAAGCTCGCGGTATGAATAGCCTATTCCAATAATCAATATTATTATATATCGCATTCTTCGATAGGCCCTCCTCGCGTACCTGGACATCAACCCAGAACTTAACCAGCGCGAATTCAAGCAACAGCAATGATATAGGTATGACTGATAGGGTTTTTTTTTCGAATCTTTGAACTATATTAATAATAATAATAACTAGTAAACACGTTGAATGCTCTTAACTATGGCTAGAGTCAATTTTTACTATCAAATTTATATTCTTGACAGTCTGGTCGCAGTTCTGTAACTTACTAAAATAATAATTATATTTATGTTATATGTTGTAAAGTTGAAATTAAAAGAAAGTTCTATTATAGTATTATTAGAGTGACTTTGCACTGTGCACAAATATTAACATCACATTTTGAAGTCCATAAATATCTCAAAAATATTGTAAACGTTTATGCTTTGAATTTTTGGAAACACCATACGAAACGTAACGATTTTTGTTTAAAGAATTTATACATTAGAATAGATAATGTCAGGTGTAGATTGGTTTTTGTAACTGTTCCAATACTTGACTTAATATTTGGTATTCCAGTTACTGCATTGACAGAAATATCAATGCAGTTTCTAGTTAAAATACCATAAAAACTTTGTAGTACTAAGTTTAAATGTATACCCATGCAGAAGGTATTGAAATTTCGATAAATCTGCAGTGATTCTCTCTTTTTTCGAAAGATCCGTATATATTTATTGTTTACTTCAATACAAAAGCTAAAAGTAATTCTTAGTAATAAACTGAACTTTGCATAAATCCATCTATGTATGTCTGTAATTCTTATTAGAGTCGCAGAAAGTTTCCACCTAACCTCAAACTTAAATTGTATAGATTCAAAGATTTGTCCTTACCCAACACTTTTTTCTGTTACGAGAGATCCTAATTGATAAAAATGTAAAAAAAATATATATATTAAGTTCTCTAAGCTGATCGTCATCTAGTTAATCAATATGTCTGCGAGGGTATTGAAGTCTTTGGCAACGCCAAAGATAACTGTTTCCTTTTTTCATGTGCTCTTTACGTATTTCTCTCACTGTTTTAACTGAACTCTTGCACCAACTGTACTGTTTTGTGTGCTCGTATCCATCTCTATCTCTCTCTTTCGTGCTCTCTCTCTCTCTCTCAAACACACACACTCAACACTAATCTGCATAACGTTTGTTAACACTACTATTTTGTACTACCATCGTGTGTGCTGTGCTGTTGCGCTGATGTAATCCAATTTTACCGCACTGTTATGTAACAAATAACGGCACATTTGGTTGGCCAACGCTCATTCATTTGACACGGGCTTGTGGACACCATCGCCATCGCCGAATATATTTCACAAAAAAACTGTGACTGTGAACGTGACTGTGATTGTGATTGCGACCCATTGATGGCCAATCGTCTGCTTGCATTTGCATTCGCTGCACTTGACGCTTTTACTGAACTCAGTTGTACACTTCAATGTAGAGCTAAAGAAACGTCCGCAGTCCTGGGCCTCAACGCCGGACATCGATGAGCCGCCGACGGATGCAGTCAAACGCAATCCGGCTGCGGCGACGCCGGCACGTCCAGGCGACGATCACAATGTGGCCGTAACCCTAAAGCTGCCCGTCCCGCCGCGCCGTCACACAACCGCCTTGGACATGAATGAGGTAAATTGTGCAGTCAGTCAATCAATCAATATTTTTTGAATTTGCCCAACGACAGGTGGAACAAACGCTCACGCAAGGCCGAGTCACATCCTCCCCCAGTAAAACTTCAAGTATTCCAGATGAGCTAGTCATCCTATCGACAGACAGTCTTGCCGAGCGCGTGCGCAAAATGAATCTGCTGAAGAAACAGCGTAGCCTGAACTCAAGGGAATCCAGCCGGGAACGCTCGGTGCCGCGACGCGATGAGTAAGTGGCGCAAAGGAGTTCCAAAAAAAAAGCTAGGCTAATCGCAATTGTTTGGCAGGGAAAGCGAGTCTACATTGCCAGCACCGGATCGACCGGAGCGCAGCAAATCCGGCACATCGCTCAATCAGCAAACGGAACTCAAACGCGCCTCCCTGCCGCCAAAGAAGGTTGCTGCGGTGACAACGGCCAGCACAGCCGCAACAGCAGCAGCCGCAGCAACAACCACAACAACCACATTGAAATCCAATGCCATCAGCACATCATCAAGTCACACAGAAACCAAGGTTTCAGCCTCAAGTTCCAGCTCCAGCAGCAGCCTGAGCAGCGCACGCCGCAAGGAAACGGAAGCCAGCAACGGCAAGGATATCAAAAGACAAACCGTGCCGGCTGCTGCAGCGCCGACGGCAGCAACAGGCGCCAGCACGCTGAAGGAACAGATGGCTGCGCTGCGCAGCGATCTGGAGGCCATGAAGGCGCGAGCTGAGCGCGCCGAGCGTGAGAAGAGCGATATACTGCTGAGGCGTTTGGCCTCGATGGACACCGCCTCGAATCGGACCGCCGCTTCGGAGGCGCTGATGCTGCAGCAGAAGCTGAACGAGATGAAGGAGCAGCTGGATCGCGTGACGGAAGACAAGCGCAAGCTGAATCTGCGCATGAAGGAGCTGGAGCACAAGGATAGCCAGTCGGAGCTAAAGCGCAAGCTGCAAGCGGCCGAGCAAATCTGTGAGGAGCTCATGGAGGAGAATCAATCGGCCAAAAAAGAAATACTCAATTTGCAGGCGGAAATGGATGAGGTGCAGGACACATTTCGCGATGATGAGGTCAAGGCGAAAACTAATCTGCAAAAGGATCTCGAGAAGGCAACCAAAAATTGTCGCATCCTAAGCTTCAAGCTGAAGAAGAGTGAGCGCAAGATCGAGACACTCGAACTGGAAAGGCAAAGCTCCTACAATACCGAGCTCTGCGCCAAGGTCAAGAAGCTGGAGGAGGAGCTACGCTTCTCCAGTGAACTGGCGCGCAAGCTGCAGGTAAGTTCGCAGATATCCAAAGTGAGCTGTAGTCAAGACCGAGTCACTTGCAGACTGAGGCCGAGGAGCTGCGCAATCCGGGCAAGAAGAAGGCGCCCATGCTGGGCGTGCTGGGCAAGTCCACGTCAGCGGATGCGAAAATCACGCGCGAGTCTCTGACACGCGGCGGCTCACAGGAAGATCCGCAGCACTTGCAGCGCGAGCTGCAGGACTCCATTGAGCGCGAAACTGACCTAAAGGATCAGCTGAAATTCGCCGAGGAGGAGGTAAGGGCACACCCGTAAGACCACATTAAGCTCTGATTAATCACTTGTCAACTTCACGTCGAAGCGTCGTCAACTCAAAGCCAGAGCCTCCAGGCATCGCGCTCAAGTCAATCGAGGCACCCAAACGGGCGATATGCTGGCGATGCCTTTGGGCTTTCCGCGTGCCACACAGACGGCGTCCATAGTTCAGACCGAAGCCGCCACCAATACGTCGCCCATGCCCGACAGCCGGCCTGTGCACACACAAACCCATGTGGTCGCGTCTTCCGACAATGCCACCCAAACCCATTTCGAGCTGTGCGCCCGAAATCAATCAGTTGAACGTGAAACTTCACCTTTTGTATCGCTCCGTGTACCCACCACTTCGACAAGGATTGTCAATTCCACCTCCTTGCTCTTTCCAAGCGCCATGTCTCATGTGCTTCTGGCTGGCGCCGGTGCAGGTACAACAGCTTCCTCACTCAGATCCGACCAGCAAAAGAACCTTTATCATAGTATATCCAGTCAAAATAGTTGGTTGGACACATATTTTGGGCTAATGTTGCAATGGGCATGTTGCAGATCCAGATTCCAGAAAATGAAAAATCTTTTTGACGAACCAAATAACAGAATACGATTGCATTTCCATATTAGGTTGATTTCGATAGCCAATTCTCTCTCTCAATGTAGTCTCGGACATTTAAAATGTTATTTAAATTTACATATATTTTATACAAAAATAGTTTCGATTTAGGTAGAATTAATAGTAAAGCAGAGAATAGTTTCTTGTTAACTCCATTTTTTGGGCCAGAGCCAAAAGAGGATGAATATTTACAGTTATATCGGTTAGTCCCTTGAAGAATTGAATAATTAATTAATTACATTTAAAATTAATTTAGTTCTTACTTCTGTAAAGGTCTTTGCTGGTTGCGATCTGTCTCAATATTTAGTGCAGTTGATTTTCTTGTTTATGTCTCTCCATTGTATTTGTGTAAATACGTTGATATACCCTTGCAGAGGGTTTAATATCGGCAACTCTTTAAAATATGGTAAATTATAAACGTTGTTGTATAATTTAAGCACTTAAAATCGTAGGAGCTCCGGCTTTGTTAGTTATTCGATTTCATCTAGAATCAACCTCAGTTCCTTTTCTATACTCATATGAATCAGACGTTCGCTTTAATAGTACCTGTATATATATGATAGTATTAAAGCGAGCGTCTGATCTACATGAGAATAGAAAAGGAAGTGAGCTTTATTCTAAACGAATCGATGCCGAGATGCTCAAGTTCGAGTAGGACTCGTTGATTCCTATTGAGAAGCAGTTTTATCTCAGCAAGTTCCACCAGTTTTCATTAGCTTCACCTTCCGCAGACTCTGCAAGTAACTTAGAAATTAAGAAGACAGCACATTTATTCAAGCAGAACATGTTCTCAAATTTAATTTACAATTTTACCTTTTATTTAATTCGAAAACACAGCTGCTCCTTAGGAGAGTAGTAAAGGAATTGAGGTCTGCCTAAAATGAAAATCGATTCTCTAATTGAATGACTTTTAGAGCAGGGCCAACGCATATACAAAATGAATATCACAAGAACTAAAGCCTGCAAGGGTATTAGGTATTCGGCCAGCCGAAGAGGAGTACACACAAATTCTTTCTTGTTTCCATCTAATGCTAATCCAAGTAGTTAGAATCTTTTGTGCGGCGGCTTTTTGTTGGCCCAACTCCATGTCTGGGGCAGAATTTTTATCCTCGAATACGAATACGACTTCTGGCCATGGATTTAACTGCATTAACAATCAATCAAATGTGTGTTTTACATTTCAGGCTGAACATTTGAGGAAAAAGGTGACTCGTTTCGAGGATGAAAATGAGTCTTTGATGATGCAGTTGAAAAAAATGGCAACGCGCTCAAGAAGTACGATCAAAATTGTTCGAAAAATACAAATACCTTAATATTAACATTTACTAATTGATAGAATTAAATGTAAAAAATTAATTAAACCAAAGCACAAAACGATTTAATTGGTGTAGAGCGTGTAATTCTGTAAAATTAACAATTGTTCGACTCGTAATATTCCAATTAAATCGATTTGTGATATATATATATATATATATATATAGATCCCAGTTAACACAAATTCTTTCGAACTAACGATATTTCTCATGCGCTTTTTAACGAATGATTCAAAAGTAATTTGCCATTTTTTGCGGCTGCTCATGAAATGTGACTAACTGCGCCTAAATCCGGCTATTAAACATTGTAACTAAACGCTTCGAAGCCTGGCATGCTTTTGAGTAACATCCTCTTTTCATGTTGTTTTTTTTTTTGTGCATAAATTTTTAATTCACTTTTGTTATGCACAGCTCGCAAATTGAGCCCGGCGCCGCATCCACATCGACTGGCGCCCGAGGTGCATGCCGACCGTGACGAGGGCATTTCCGATGAGGATGATCCCGCGGAGCTGCGCATACTGCTCGAGCTGAACGAGCAGGAGGCCTCCATACTGCGTCTCAAGGTGGAGGATCTGGAGAAGGAGAATGCCGAGTCCAAGAAATATGTGCGCGAATTGCAGGCCAAGCTGCGACAGGATAACAGCAATGGCAGCAAGGACTCGCTGCTCAGTTACGGCAGCTCCTCCAGCGCAGCAGAGAAGAAGCTGAAGACACTCAACGACGAGCTGACCCAGCTGCGCAAGAGCCTGCAGGAGAAGGAGCAGAGTGTGGAGAATATGCGCGCCCAGCTGGCCAGGCTGACCACGCTGGAGACCGAGAACGAGAAGCTGACCAAGGAGAACAAGCGTCTGCAGACGCTACGCAAGACTAGCTCCATGGACAAGAGCAGCGAAGCGGATCTGCCCAAGCTCAAGGAGGCACTGGCCCAGGTTCAAAAGGAACGCGACGAACTGACAGCCCGGGTGAAGCGAATGCAAGTGGAGGCCGAGGGCAAGCTGCCCGCGCGAACGCCCAAACGTGTCAACGATCTGACGCCCAAGAGTCATCTGAAGAAGTGGGTGGAGGAGCTGGAGGATGAGATCAGCGAAATGCGCGTGCAGCTGGGCAGCAGCGGGGTCAGCCAGCTGAAAACGCTGCAAACGAGCAAGGAATCTCTGGAGGAGGAGCTGCAGAAGTGCAAACAAAAGCTGGCGCTGGCCGAGGGCGATGTGCAGCGCCTGAAGCTGTTGAATGGCAGCAGCAGCAAAGCCAAGGAGCTGGAGCAGAAGCTCAAGAGCAGCGAGGAGGAGGCCAAGAAGCTCAGCACAAAACTCAAGGACTTGGAGGATAAGCTTAAGAAACAGGAGAGCCAGCTGAAGCAGACGGAAGCCAGCAAAGCCACACTGGAGACGCTCAATAAGCGCGAAAAGGAGAAACTGTCCAGCTTGGAGAAAGACCTGGAGAAGCAAGCCAAAGAACGCGAAAAGCTCGAAGCCAAGCTGATTCAACTGGACAGCGAGCTGCTTGCTGCCAAGAAGGCGGCAGAGAAAACGAAAACATCGCTTGAGAAGGACATCAAGGACCTGAAAGCAAAGGCCAGCAAATCGGACAGCAAACAGGTGCAGGAGCTAAAGAAGCAGCTGGAGGATGCCCAAGCCACGCTCAGCGGCGAACAACAGCGCTACGAGGAGCTGAACACACACTGGGAGAAGCTCTCCGAGGAAACCATACTCATGCGTGCCCAGCTTACGACAGAGAAGCAAACTCTGCAGGCCGAACTGAATGCCAGCAAATACAAACTGGCCGACATGGACACCATACGCATTGAGCGCACGGACATGGCGCGCAAACTGAACGAAGCCCAGAAGAAGATCAAAGAGCTGGAGGTGAAGACCCTCAAGACGGGCGGCAGCAGCGATCACGAGCGCACCATGCTGAAGAACAAGCTGGCCGAGAAGGAGCACGAGTATGAGCGTCTGCGACGCGAGAACGAAATGAACATCGACTTGGTGTTCCAGCTGCGCAAGGACAACGATGATCTGAACAGCAAACTGAGCGATTTCAATCGCATCGAGCAGGCACAATCCTCGCTAAATGGACACGGCGCCAGACGCGAGGCGGAGATCAGGGAACTAAAGGAACAGTAAGTCGCTAGACCTAGATAGGATTAGGACAAATTTATGGCAAGACTTTTGGCTGGGTTAAAATAATGCTGGGCTATACGATATCTGAGATAGTAATTGTAATTGTCCTGATCCAATAGATATTTAGATATTTGTACATACCTGTCACTCACCTGTACTACTCCTTGCAGATTGCAAGCCTCTGAGCTGCAGCTTAAGTCCGAAGTGGCCTCCACGCGGTTGCGCTATGAGCAGCAGGTGAAGAATCTCAGTGGAGAACTCACCTCCATGCAGGTAAGCTCTGAGCTAATTGCCATAGAGATCAGCCAGTTTTATGTCGATATGATTGCAGCGCCAATGCGAGCGCTTCAAGAAAGACAGAGATGCCTTTAAGCAGATGCTCGAGCTGGCGCAGAAGAAGATTGGCGATCTGAAAGCCAACAATACCGGACGCCAGAGTCGCAGCTCGATGCACAGCAGCGATGACGATGACAAGAGCAAAATTGCTTACCTGGAACAACAGGTAAAATTAAACACTTGCATCTTAGTTAAAGGTTAGGAACTTACCAATTATGTCTGGCAGATTGGGCATCTGGAAGATCAGCTGGTCGAGTCGCGTCTGGAGTCCAGCAAGGTCAAGACGGAGCTTGTCTCCGAGCGCAGTGCCAATGAAATTAAAATTTCGGAGATGCAATCGAAGCTGAACGAGTTCGAGGAGGAGCGTGTCATTGGCTCGGGCAGCACAAAGCTGCCCGGCATGAAGACCAAGCTGGAACTGTCCTGGCAAAAGGAGCGCGAGGATCAGCAACGCCTGCTGCAGGAGACATCCACATTGGCGCGTGATCTGCGCCAAACCCTCTTCGAGGTGGAACGTGAACGCGACAAGGAGCGACTCGAGTCCAAGCGCAAACTAGATCAAACCAAGCGTGCGACTGAAGAGGAAATGGAGGAGGGCCGCAAAAAGATAGCCGAACTTCAGTGCGATCTCCTAGAGCTGCGGGACGTACATGCCAAGCTGCGCACCTCCAACGAGAAGCTACGCAGGGAGGTAAGCATGATCCTCAATAGACATCGTCAACAGAAGCATTGTAAAGTTTGGCATAGGGTAGAGGATTTCTGTTAATGGTTTTCCGATAGTTACCCTATAGAGCGTATTCTGAAGAAAGTAAAGCCTTTAGTTCTTAATATAGGTAAGATACAGATACAGAGATACAGATACAGAGATACAGATACAGAGATACAGATACAGAGATACAGATACAGAGATACAGATACAGATACAGATACAGATACAGATACAGATACAGATACAGATACAGATACAGATACAGATACAGAAACAGATACAGATACAGATACAGAGATACAGATACAGATACAGAGATACAGAGATTCAGAGATACAGAGATACAGATACAGATACAGATCCAGATACAGATACAGATACAGAGATACAGAGATACAGAGATACAGAGATACAGATACAGATACGGATACAGATACATTCGGCTTGCGGGACAATGTATTATTCAGGACGCAGATAGCTTTAGCTTTTATCCATAGTACTCAGACACTTGACTCTTGATTATCTTTTCAGCGCGAACGCTATGAGAAGGAGCTTATTAAGCGGCGCATGGAGCAGGATGGTGGTGAGCGCAAGGTCGGTGCACTGCTGCAGACTGTTGATGAGCTGGTGAAAATTGCGCCAGATCTGAAAATAGTTGGTGGCTCATCCGGACGCAGCTCGTCCTATGCCGACAACAAACTGCGTCCGGAGCAGGCGAACGTGCGTCGCAGTCGCAGTCCATCGCCAACGCTGAGCAGTGCCCAGATCGCCAATGTGCTGGCCCGTTTGGCGGAGGCGTCCGAGGAGCTGCGCAAGTTCCAGCGCCTAAATGAGGATGAACAGGAGCGCAGTCGCATACGTCGCGGCAATCTACGTCGCGCTGCCTCCCAAGAGAACGATCCGCACGGCAGCACCAGCTCCGTCGCCAGTGCGGCCGGCTCTCAGCGAGCCGCCGGCGGCGGCGGCGGCGGACGTTTGTCCCGCAATTCGGCCAATAATGGCAGCCTGATACGCAAGAGTCTATCGCTGGATCACTCCATACAACGTGACCAGGTAAGCTGTGACCAAAACTAAGTGGGATTCCATTTAACCCACTTATTGCAGAATATTTGGCGTCAGGACGATGGCAGCGTATCATCCATGCAGTCCATTGACTCGGAGCTGGGCGGACTGGTGCGCGACTCCAGCTTAGATTCGCGTCTCGACTCGCGCCTGTCCGGCGGCTCCACCCAAAGCGATATACCACGCGGGCCACGCAAAAAGAAGAAGGGCATCATGGGCAAGCTGCGCAGTCTGACCAAAAGCAGTCGCAATTCCGAGAGTGAAATATCGGTGGGTAGCGAACAAGAATCGAACCGAATATTAAAACCAAACAAACTCTATTGTAGATTCAAGGATCCGATTCGGACATAAGCGTAGCTAGCGACATGAGATCCAGCAAGAAGGATCTGCGTGGTCGGCTGTCGGGCATGTTCAAGCGCTCCGGCTCAAACTCACGCAGCGAGAGCACCGAGCGGGCCAGCTCTGAGCAAAGGCCCGTTGCCGTCACCGTCGTTGGCCATCCGGATGGACCGCATCCACGCGATCCGCCGCCGGCAAATTCACTTACACCCAAGCCCATACGTTCGGCAAGTTGAGCACATCAAATATGTACGATTTATTGCTAATGTATTGTCGTTTTGGTTTTGTTTTTGTACCATTTAGATAAAACCGCCAACCGGCACACCCACCACACCAACCACAAGACGGCGCCAAGCCAAGTAGTCATCGAATTTTAAGGTTCATCATAGTTAGTACACTCACGCCTAGTTCACGCCTTGGTTTCCACTGGTTGTTGTTTGTCTGCGCATTTCTATACCAACTGCATTGGAACTTGTGCTTCATATCATTATTATTATTATTATATTATTTTTTTTGTTATTTCACTTGCAAATGTTCTCTGATTAGTTTTGCTTGATTTCAAATTTTTCAATAAACATGTACATCTTTTTCAACAAAAAAAACACACAAAGACGTTTGCCATATTCCTTTCACAGTTCAGCGCTGAATTGTCAACAGATTGGAATCCTTGCGGAATATTGAAATAGACCAAGACACTTACATGCATAAAGACGAAACCCGCGGCTGCCGTATAGAGTACAATATGTCGGCACAAGAGGAAGCCTCCGCCTGCGGGCGGCTCTTCGACATGGGCGAGGAAATATAATATGGTACTGCACAGGAAAAATAGAATGGCTTCCAACATTTTCTAGACTTTTTGACAAATATGTTCAAATTTTGTAATTTTGTATTTACGGAGCTACTCGATCTATGACTATTTTCTATGAACATATACGATTTGTCAGAGAATCAAAGATACTTTTGCAAATATTATTATTAATTGATGGGGGTAATAAAAATATACTAAATCGTTTTAGAAAACCCAAAATTCGGAATTTTTACTCTTATTTGGCAGTCGCCGACTTTGAAAATTCGAAAAAAGAGTATTCATCAAATTTAGACTTGATTCGTGGCAATTCCAATTCCCACTTCTGGATAGTTTTGATCTGCAATAAATAATTGTGAAGGCAGTGTAAATAAAAAGAGTGAGTGACATTTATTCTATTTACTTGCAATTTATGTATATATTCAAAGTATTTTGGTTTTTGCTTAAAACTTTTTTTTTTTACACACTACATTAATTTGAAACATAATTAGAAATTTGTAATTCATTTCGTGTATTTAAGTACTTGCTTAAAATGAATAAACAATTTAAATTTGAACTTGAATTTCCAGACAAAATAACAAAACAAAAAGCGTTTTATCGATATACTTGTTTGTATTTTTGTTAGACATTTTTCATTTTCTTCTTTTCTTTTTTCATTTATTAACAACATTTTCTTTGCCGTTTTTTTAAGCCAATTCAATATGCAAACCAATTCTTGTTTTTCGTAACGTAAATAATATTCAAATTGCAATTGATGTCATTTTCTGAGTACGTGGCATGCCTAGAGCTTTATGTACTATATATATACATACATATATATATATATATATATATATATATATATATATATATATATATATGGTATTTGGGCAACAAATCAAATCCGTCGAGAATTGGGGTTTTGCAAGAAGTAAAAGTTCAAGATCGTATTGGATGTGTTTTTTTTTTTCATTTTCTATTCGATACATCTAGTATTTAGATACATATGCATATACACACAGATATACACATATATATATATATGTGTACATATATATATATATGTATTAATTTTATGAAAGAGAGACGTATGTAGGGGGTACGTTGCTATATTTATTAGTATGGTATTTGTTTTTAGCTTAGTTAGCGTTCTGAATATTGTAAGTATGTCAGTTACATTTATACAATTATGCAATTCGGTTTGGATTTGTTTTTATTTTTTTTTGTTTTTGTTGTACATTTAATTGTGTCAATTGTTTATGTATTGTTATGTCCTTAGTTATGTAGTATTACTTGAATTGTTTGAAATTTTGTCACCATCCAATGTTTTATAATGTATTTTAATATGTTGTTCTATTCATAAATTTTTAATCGTTTTGTGTTTTTTTTTATTATTATTATTTTTTTTTTTTTAGTAACAATGTCCTTGACAGATATTTTGTTCACTTACTTGCATCGCTTATACTCGTTTGTATTTTTGTTTTTGATATTACTTAGGCACTGTGTTCGTATTACATTAAAAAATTAATTAAAAATTTAAATTTAGGTATGTATAAATACATTGTAAAAAATTTCATTAAGTTTACCGTAAACTAAAACCTTGCAACTCTCTCTCTCTATCTCTCTCGCTCGCTCGCTCGCTCTCGCTCTCTCTTTCTCTCTATATGTATGTATGTATTTCTTTACTTTTTTCGTTTCGTTTCGTTTCTTTTCTTTTTTTTTTGTATTTTCTTCATTTTTCTTCTTTTTGTTTATGTATGTATCTATGTATGTATGTAACTTGTCTGCCTCATTACATAATCAATGCATTTAACTCTGTACCAGGTTCGGTTCTAATGTTAATCTCTAAAAAGTACGAGTAGAAAAGTCTAGAAAAAGAAACCCAAAAAAAACATTTCATATAATATGTATGTATAGCTCTATATATATATATATATATATGTGTGTGTGTGTGTGTGTGCTGTGTGTGTGTGTGATACGTAAAATCTTTAAGTTAACTAAATACATATTATTGCCCGCAGCTAACCCGAGTGTCCAAACATTTTTTCACACAAGTGGCAACACTTAACGTCTAAAAACCGTTACATCTGGTTTATAAGTACATGCTATATGTAACTATATGTATGTCCGTAATAGTTGTCTGTATGTGTGTGTGTGTGTGTCGTACAAACTAACCGTTTTAGTTTACAGCTACAGTTACGGCTTAAAGTAATCACTTAGCCTGCTTACGTTTGCCATAATTAATGCTTAGATGTGACAAATAAAACAACTATATATGTATTTTAGTAGCTAAATAACTTTAGTCGCGCCTTAGACGTTCCACTATACATACATAGTTAACAGAAATGATGTGTACATATATGTGTATGTGTGTGTGTGTGTGTGTGTGTGTGTTCTTACCATGCAAAGTGAACGAAAAGCTCTTCAAAAAGAACTCGAAACTGTACTGAATTCGACAAAAAACAAGAAATGCATCTGTATACGAGCTTGAAGATATACACATACATATATATGTATATGTATATCTATATGTATATGTATATATATATATATATCGTGTTCTAACAATCGCCTCTTTCTAATGACAACAAAACAATTGCAAAGCAAAAAGAAATAATTTGAAAGAAATTATAGAAAACATTTGTTGTTGTTGTTGTTGTTGTTTGCTTCAACGTAATCCTTACACGAACTTATGTAGGTAGCCTATTCATCTGAGATTTCTTATATATTTGCTTTGTTTTTATATGTAGTATGTTTATGTTTATGTTTATGTTTTAGGTATTGGTATTACGAGTTAAGAGTTCTAGTTTTTAAGCATTACGTTTTCATCTTATATTCTCCGCTTCATTTGTTGCATTTGTTAACAGTCTCAATTTTGGTTTTATTTTGGTTATTTTGCATAGTTTTTCTGTTTTTTTCTTCTTTTTTTTTTTATTTTGTTCATTTTTTTTTTTTTTTTTCTTTTAAACTACATACAAATTAGTTTGCTTAGTATCGCTCGGTTTGCTTGGTTTATTTGTGTTTTAAAATGCACATTGAAATATTTTCGATACACATACATACCTTGTGTTTAGAATTGATTTATGCTTAAAAACGAACCGAAGCCAAGTACGAAATCAAAAACAAAAATCACCCAAATGACAATCTATAAACAATTTGCATTAATCGACTTCTTATGCACTTCGATTCTCCATCATCATCATCATCATCATCATCATTATGATCATATCTTATTCAATGCTATTTGTTAAATTTTACGTTTTATCTTAAATTGTTCTCTATATTGTTTTTCTTTTATGCTTTTTAACCTCAAACATAATGCCTCAAAAAACAGTTTCAAGTAGTTACAAAAACAAGTACAAAGCATGCACACACAGTTGCCCCAGTTCTTTCCCAGATAACCGTGTGCTTTAAGTCTACATCTGTTACATCGTCTCTGTCATAATCTTATTGTTTTCATCATTATTTTTTGTTTGTTTCTTGTTTTGTTTTGTTTGGTTTTGCCTTGCCTCTATAAATTTAGTCATTACAAAAGGTGTCTTAGGTGGAATCGTTTTGTCTTAGGAATTTAGCTTAGATTTCTGTTAATTTCCTTATTTCAAATCATCATTTCAGTTAGTCTTAATAGGCTAATAAGAGTACAGTGAACCGAAATAAAGGCTTTGGATTTGGACAAAAAAAAAAAAAAAAAAAACAGGAAAAAATAATGGGATGATACTTTTGTAATTGTATACAACACTTTTAGAAAAAACCATCAGAGTTACTTAGCTTAACTATGATACCAGTCGAAATTGTAAACCAAATAACCATAACTATTATATTCAACTGACTTTACCAAACTACGATGTGTAAAACGGGTTTTTCGATCTTCTAAGTATATATCTTAATGATGATTTTTGTATGTCTCAGTTTTTCTTGCTTTTCTCGCAGTTTGCATTTTGGCGCATCGTTCGTAAGTGTAATTAAGCTTAAATGTTAAATTATGTTGAATCATATTTTTTATATATAGCTATTTCATTGTCAATTATATTATGGTATATCGGCGAAACTTGACTTGGGCCTGCATAACAGAGTTATCAATTAAACAATTTTCTCAGAACATCAATATGTTTTCTTTCTATCGAGAAACAAGCACACATACTCAAAAACGAAAGCAAAAATATAAATCCCAGCAAATCGAGGCTGGGAATATTCGATTCGAATTGCAAAAGAAAATTACCAAAAAAGAAAATTAATTATTCTATATACATTTATGTATATCCGATTTCATCATCAACTCAAGAAGAAAAACCAAATACACGAAATGACATCAAAACACAAATGCGAAGACAAAAAAAAAAAGAAGAAGAAAATCAACAAACCGATCCAATATTATATACTCTGGATGCGCGGACATAACCTATCTTCTTTTTTTTTTTTGCATATACGGACAATATACTTATAATATGTCACGCCTTAACGTATTTTTTTTTTTTTTGGTATTTCTGAAGTGAATTTTGCATAAAGTTATCATTTGTTGAAAGTGCAACACTTCAAAGTTTTGTTTTTTTTTTTGTTTTTTTTTTTTTTTTTAGTACAATATTTAGATTTATTTTCATTTACTGTTAAATTGATATATTTATGCATATATTTAATGTAAGTATATATAATATATATTTATATATATAATTGTATATAGTAGTTGTAATTACGTTTAGATGCATATATATGTAGTTCATTTATTAGGTTTTTATTTTAAAAATGTTTAACTTTAAATCATAAATCGTATGGATTAAAAAAGAAATTTCTTTTACAATTAACAGTCAGTGTTTTTTTTTTGTTTTGTTTTTTTTTTGTTTCTTGCTTTACGTTTACATTTTGCATTACTTTAATTCTTGCTTTAACTATTTATGTGTATTTCCTTGAATTAGTTATTAATTATAGCATTACTTATTTCAAATTGTTAAACATCACTTCTTTATTTTATTTTGTATTTTAATTTTTATTTTAACTGTTTCTGCATGCAAAAAAATGGAGCTTGATAATAAACAAAAGATATTTGTAGATATATATAGATGTAAGTATGCAATTATCATAATCATAATAATAATAATAATAAGGTCTTGCTTATAAAATTACATCAGGTGTTTTTTTTTCTTTCTGTTTTTCTATTTTTGTTGTTTAACTGCTTTTTTCGACCAACACGATTTGCCTTGATTCAATTGGTTTTCTTGTTGTTGTCTGCTCTTTCTGCTTGTTCTTGCATGTTTTACAAACACACGCACATATATATTCATAAATATACACATGTATGCATGCATGCGTATATATAACCGTTAAATGTCTACGTTAAGCCTGATACGTTGTTGTTGCACAGCAGCATGTTGCTGTTGCTGTTGCTGTTACTGTTGCTGTTACTGTTACTGCTGCTGTTGTTGTTGTTGCTCGCTTGCTGCCTGCTGGAAAGAACACAGAAATTTAAAAAAAAAAAAAAAACAAATTACAAGCGGAAATGGATCGAAACTTCTTTCGCTCTACTGTGAAACATCAACTACGCCACGTGTGCGTCCTGCTGGCCAAGCGCAGTGGTTTTTTCTTTTGCTTATACAACAATGCAATTAGACATGTACAATTTACACACACAGAGAAACAATCTCGCACAAACACACACACGAAGGTCAGCGCATAGAGCTGCATGTTTTAAATTAAAGGAAAACAAAAGCAAATTTTTTGTTGGTTTTTTTTTTTCAAAATTTTCAAACGTTTTTCATACGTTCCACTTTACTTTGTTGTTCTCTTCTTTCTTTTTTAATTTTTACTGTGTATTTTACGTTAGTTTTGTTTGTTATTGTTTTTTTTTTTAGTGTATAATTATATAAAAAATTTAAGCATATGTTTATATGTATATTTGTAATTTAAACGAAATTAAATTAGGAATTTATGATTGTAGGATTTGTTTGCTAAGTAGATTTGTAAAAATTAGACGAAAAAAACACTATGCAATAAATCACCGAAAAATAAAGTAAGGTATATATGTATGTATGTAGTATGTATGTATGTATGTATGTATGTATATTGTAATTGTAAATGTTCGCGTAATCAACAAATTAAAAATTACGTTTTTGTAGTTTGTAGTTGTAATAGCAAAAAATATTACTTCATATTCATATTTATATGTAAGTGTATAAATGTATCTATTATCGTATATAAGCATATGCATATACATATATATATATATATATAGAGATATAAATACATATATGTACGTAAGGTTTTTGTAATATGTAATAATAAATTGTAAAATCGCAATTATTTAAAAATTAGTTTACTTTTTGTTTGTTTGTTGTTGTTGTTGTTTCTTGTTTACATAACACATTCAGATGATCATGTTTGTAATTAAGAGTAAATAATATATAATGTAATTAAAGATATATATATATATGTATATAATCAATAAAATATGCAATTCTCATGTTCATCTCCTCCGCGTGTGTGTATGTACGTGAGTGAGCTTGTGGGTGTGTGTGTGTGTGTGTGTGGGTGCGTGTTGCAGTTTGTGAGTACAAACGCACACAAACACACACACACACACACACACGCACACACGCATTCTAATTGTTGTTGTTGTTGTCTGCTTGGCAAACGATGAAAATTTCAAAAATGTGCAACGCAACTCTAAGCATCGTTTTTTTTTTTTTGTTGTTGTTTGTATCCCTCTTTTCTCTCTCTCTTCCTTTATCTATTTTCTCTTATGACTTTTCTTTTCTAATCTGCTTTAACTGTAGTATAAGTTTACGTTTTGTTTTGATTAAATTTACGTATATATATATAAATAATTATTTATATATATATATATAGAGATGTATATAAGTATGTATATAGTTGTTTTTTGTTTTGTTGTTGTTGTTAAATGTATATTTGTTTAGAGCGTTTCGTATTTTTGTGATTTTTTTTTTTTTTGTTGTTTTTATAGCATTTTCATCTTGTATCTGGTTGTTTTGCGATTCTCTCATCTGGTTTCTTTAACTAAATAATAATTCCAACACTATATAATTCTAGTTTCAAGTTCAACTTTCGCTTACATGCAAACGACATACGACATACGCTTATTAATTAGGTTTCTTTATATATGTAGTTTAACTTTTAGCTAGTTGTTTACTTTACTTTTAAATGGTAAATTTATAAATTTTGTAACGTGTATTCTTCTTCATCGGCGCCAAACAACCCAAACATATCTGTTGATGTCTCCATGCCAGGCCCCGGCTCTAGCCCGGAAAACCCCCAGCAAACAATGTTGGCTAAGGCAAGCATTTTCACAAGGTGCTCTAACGGAATTGTTGTTCTTGTTGTTGTTGTAATAATTCATTTTCCTCTGTCTACTGCTACGCCTTGTCGCCAAAATGTTTGCCATTGGATTCGAGCTGGAGGCGCGGCATGTGGGCGTGGCACGATTATCTTTTTCCATTTCCATTGTTTCCTTTCTTTTTTTTTTTTGTTTTTTTTTTTTTTTTTTGGGCTTTTTGTTTTGTGTTTTTGTTGCCAACTAGTCGTGGGGTTTTTACGCTTTAAATGTACAGTTTCGAATTGGTATTTACTAATTTTAGTAGTTAAGGGATGTGTTTGTTTTGTTTTTTTTTTTTTTTTAAGTATAATTTCTTATAATTCCTTTTTAATGTTATTCTTCTTTTGTTGGTATTTCGTACACTTTTCTCTTGTGTCTAATTGGCTAAACTTTATACTTTTAAATCTTCACAATTCTATTATTTTGTTATCGTATTTAATATGCATGTATATGTGGTTTTAGTTGGATTGTTGTTGTTGTTGTTGCTTTTGTTGTTAGTTAGGTAGGATTTACATATATATATATACATATACATATATATATGTTTCTGACGAGGAAGGGAGGGCGCATGAAAAATGTTCTTGTTGCTCTGAGTCGAGAGTGTTGACTGTGGTTTTTGTTGCCTATAAATTTTTACATACTCATTGCTATAGAATGTATATATATATATATAAACGTATATATACATATATATTTTCCTTTTATACATATACTATCTATATATATATATATATATATATTAGTCTATAAACCTGCCTTGTTTCGCTAGGGATTTGCATTCAAGCTGATTTCCGTGTTTGTGTTTGTTTCTTTGTTTGTTTGTTTGCGTGTGTGTGTTAAATTATGCTTTTAAATTATTTGCTGTGTACACAAGAGTTACATTAATTAATTTCAACAAGTGATCGATCTCAAATAAAAAATATCTTTTTAAAAATTATGAAACGAACAGACGACGCTTTAGCTTACAATTACCACCATCTTTTTGTCTTCTTCATCATTCACCTCATGGGTCCGCGCGGGATGACACGAGACGACAACACGCACGATCTGGCTTTTTAGACGGCCTGCGAGGCGGCATACGGTGGCTGTGTAGAGCTGTCGTTGCCGTACGCTGACCGCGGGCCGGCGCCGTAGTTGGAGGCGCCCTCCTGCTTAACATAATTGCTATAATCGTAATCGTAGCCGGATCCATAGCCGCCATAATCGTACTCGGAGCCCGATTTGGAGGCCGAGTTGCCTGGTCCAGTGCGCGGCATGCCGCCCACGGGTCCGGTGGTCGATGGTCCGCCAGCTGCCCAGGTCTGGGCACGCGAATACATATCCGTGGCGGTGCCAGCGCCAGCACCCGGTGCCCCAGTTGGCCCAGCTGAATTTGGTGGCATATTCCACGTGTTCCAGCTGCCGCCGCCCGAAGGTCCCGATGGGGCTCCGGTCGAAGTCGAGTTGTACATATCGTAGCCGCCATATCCCTGGGTCTGCTGTGGTCCAGCATAGTTCGACCATTGCGGTGGTGGTCCTTGGGGGCCAGGTGGTGCGCCCCAGCCCTGATACGAGCCCGGACCGCTATTGCCATAACCATAGCCCTGCTGCTGAGGCGATGTGCCCCAGCCCTGATAACCGGGCATCATGTTTGGTGCACCAATTGGCATATTCAATGGTGGGCCACCCATCTGACCATTCTGGCCTTGCATCATGTTAATAGGCGCATGATGCGGTCCCCAGTGGCTGCACTCGTTACCCAGTTTGCCATAGGCACCACCCACGGCACTGTTGTTAGAGTTCTGTCCTCCGGAACCATCACGTGGCTCCGCTTTCTTAATTTCCACCTGCAAAACATACACAAACTTATATTAAAACATATTCAAGCATAGTTTTATATATGCATATTGTACATTTTAGTATAGGCATAATTTTAAATTATATTTGATAATTTACTCACTAGTTGATTTATTAAAATATATATTTGTTTTTTTGAACTTTTCATTCAAGTTTCACTTAATATGAACGCAATTTTAACGACTTAAATACTTTTCCAGAATCAATACAGCGGTGTCTTCACTTTTTGTGTAGTTTTTCAGTTCTCGATCTATTTTCATAGCTCAGAACGTGCTTCTACGTCAAAACATGAGAAAAAATAGTTCGAATTCAAAGCAATATGCCAAAAGTTAAGCAGTTTTATAAGAAATACGTTGTCGTTTAAGAAACTCTCGTGCCTAAAGAACTCTTCTACACGCATATTAGATTTTTAAAAATTGAATAAAGCTGCGCGGAGCAGACAATTTTATGTGTCATCCGTCAATTGATCCATCCTTCATTGTTATATTTATTGTAAGTGAAAAAAAAAATTGGTTTTTATGTCAACCTCATCGTTTTCTTTGATACCTAACTATAATTTATGTTTTATTTTGAATTCGATTAAATGTTAAATTATAAAATATGAATTTTTGTGGCTGAGTTTACGCACCTGCTTGCCATTTAGATTAATGTAACGCTCGTTGGTAACGTGCTCCACAGAGGACTCCTCCTCAAAGGACAAGAAGCCAAATCCACGTGATTTCTTCTTCTCCTGGTCGTACATGATGACCACCTCGGTGACCTTGCCGTAGCGACCAAAGAAGGTGCGCAGATCGGTCTCCGTCACGTTCGATGGCAATCCGCCGAGGAACACCTTGTAGCCGCCGCCCTTTTTCGGCTTCTGCAGCGTACGGGGATTGCAGGGCTTCGGGTCGATGGTACGACCGTCGAGCGTATGCGGTCCACTCTGCAGCACATGATTGACGTTAGCGGGATCGGCGAAGGTGACAAAGCCGAATCCACGTGATCTGCCGCTCTCGTTATTCTTCATAACGACACAATCAATAATGTCGCCGAAGCGGCAAAAGTAGCGCGAGAGATTCTCCTGCGTTGTCTCCCAGGACAGGCCGCCAACAAACAGTTTGCCCCTCTCGTCTTCTTCCATGATGTTGTTTTGGTGATTGTGAGCTATTGCGCCGGGTAGGTTTTCAATAATTGACGTAATTTTGCTGCTGTTTATGTTGCACTTGTGGACTTGAATTTGTTGTCGGTGTCTGTTTTGGGTTTTTGTCGCTTCTTGTTTACACTTTGAATTTTACACTAGTTGCTGTTGTTGTTTCTTGTGTTTTGGGATTGGTTTTAGTTGCCAAAGTTTTTTTTTTTATTTATATTTTTTTTTTTTTTTATTATTTTTCAAAATAATTAAACAAAAGCCACGACGTTTACACGTAACTTTCTAATTATTATTAAAGATGTCCAGTTGTCGGTTGTAGCGGAAGTCATGAAAAATATTTTATGCGTAAAGAAAAAAATGCAAATCATCAGATCAGTAAAAAGAAATATCTACAGTTAAAAGTAAATCTTAACTAACTCTGGCCACATTGGACGAGAGAACGTATGACAGCAATAAAACAGAGAGAGAGGCACACACACGCACACACATACACTTATGAACCATATGTACATGTACAGAAAGCAATCGAAATAGGCACAAATAATTATGAAAGGCAGGTAAGCAGCGCTGTGGACAGCAACCGGCCGGTACGCATACATACATACATATGTTGTATGAATGCATAGGTCTACTCTTGCTGTTTAACAGCTTTTTCTACACGTTCACAAGTTGTTCGGTCTTTGCAACGCTCTGCTTGCTCTTGTGGTCTTAAGCCGCGCTGGTCGTTGATTGCCGTTTTGTATTTTTTACACTCTGCTACGAGTTTTTATTAACGATTTCTTTTCGCTGTGTAACAACATGCGCTAACGTTGTTGGCGTAGCGATGTCCCAGCCACAGCGTCATTCATTTCAAACACACCTACACACACATACCACAAGTGCCTATTGAAGAGTCGTGAGAACAACGAACTTTTTTCCCAAGGTAAAAATGGTGAAAACAGAATGTCGGACGGAAGGGCAAGCAGAAAGCAAAGTGCCGGTTCCCCACATTTGCGCGCCATTTGTTGTATATTGCCAGACGGTTTTTGGGTAACCGGAAAAACGAGTGCACATATGTATGCTCTACTAAAATTTTAAGAATTGTTTTGTTTCCGTACATTTAGATATTTTATGCAAGGTATTATTTAAAGACAACAAATTATGAGTAGATTATAACGGCGCTTGCGGGACTGTAGGTACATGCGTACGTTTGCAAAGAAAACCATGTGGCAACGCCATGTGCTATGTGAAAGCGAATGTAAAATGAAAAGAGATATGCGAAAAGCAATGCCCTCCAAATGTACATATGAACAAATATACGAACGATAAATCAACACAAATCACAAAATTCAAGAACTAACACGTTTAGAAGTTTTACAATTTATGCTATTGTTACGCGTCAATTATGGGTAATTGCAAGAACTCAAAACAAACGCAGTGAATTGCCTGAAATACGAGAAATTCACCACGAGCAGAAGCAGCGACGGTGGCGGCGCGACGGCAGCAAAATAAAAAACAAAATGGAAGACTCGTCGATGACGACAAAAATGCTTCAACAAAGAAATCTGAAGAACTCAATTTGTAAAACGCAAACACGAGTAATATGAATTGAAGAGAAACTTTGCCACATAAACTATTTTATGATATTTTTGATTTGATTAATCTTTGTGAACTAGTAGCACCCTTTTGACCGGCGAATACCGCGCACATTTTACACTAGTATTTTGTACATTTCCAAAGTTCGGATAAACTAGTGCATTTCTTACTACGCAATTTTAAAATTTCGCATGATATTTGTATTTTGCACCGCAATCTTTTATACATACATACGCAACTACGCTTACAAGCACACGTGTCTATGTGTGTGCTTTGTATCAATGTGTGTGTATGCGAATGGCCGATGTATCTTGTGTGTATGTATGTGTTAGTATGCTGTTATACATAGCATTTTTTGTATGTATAAAAATATGAAATTTTCCACTATAAAAGGAAATTGAAAACTAAAATATTTTAATGGCCATAAACAGGCAAAAATATGCACCTTATCATCAGATGCAAAACATTTCTTTAATGTTAGCCGCGTCAAAAACTCACATATCAAATCTGTTTTGTACACCAGGCAGCTGCTGCTGTCGCACATTTAATTTTGGAAAGGCAGGCAGACTTCGTTTTTTTTAAGCATCAAGTTCGTTATGTAAAATGTATATTTTCATTGTTGCTTATGCTTACCGTTTGTGCCAAGTGTTCGTCTGTGGTTTTTTAAAGATTTCGCACTGCAAATTCACTAAATTTAAGTGTTTTTTCCTTAAAAAACTAGCTTATAAATAATTGTATGATTTGATGCATACGATATATAACCTAACTTATGATAGAAAACTCGCCACCGCCACGTTTAATGGTGGTAGCCATTCACAATTCACCGCGACACTCTTGTAATCGGTAGTGCACGGTTGTATTTTTCAGACATCAATCAAGGCGTCAGGGATGCAACTGCATGCACATTGCTTTGTATATATAACAGGCTTTGTACAATAAAAGCTTGAGAAAAAAACAATATTTGAAGTGATCGAAATAATAATCTTTGCTGTCTTCAAATTGCGCTTGCAGCCCTGATAACTTCCATATGATTCAGGTGCATTCACAATTAAGCAAATTATGGTATTTTTGAAAAATCTATGTCGATGAGAATCCGGTTATTAATTGTAACCTGTAAAGAAAATGGGCTTAAAGAAAAATCGTCAAATGCGAAACATTAAGTTGGTCGGCTAAGAAGTATCGATAGCGAGTAAACTCACCTCACTAGAAAGCAATTATCTATGATGGTTATGGTCACACTAATTGGGGACTGGTTCAATTATTGTTTACATTTTTTTTTTCTTGCATTGAACAGAAAAGAACTTTTAAACCAGTTGTTCATTTAGTGAGCAATTCTGTTTGGTTCACTCACCTAACCATTGTGCGAGTCGGCAAAAACAGTTTTGCCGAAATAAATATAGTGCCTAAATAACAAAAAGTCAAAGATATATACATCAAGTAATGAGAAGCTATCATCATTTCGATTAACCGAATGCACTTTTGACAAGGGCAACTAACGCGAAACTTTTGCACTCAAATCGATTTTTTCTGCGCTACTTGCGATTTTCATAGCGCCCAACCAACAAACCCAAGCTAGAAAATGTCGCGGCATCCTAGCGACCGGAAAGTGTATGTTGGCGATTTGGGCAATAATGCACGAAAGAACGATTTGGAGTATGTATTTGGTGCCTATGGAAGTTTGCGCAGTGTTTGGATTGCACGCAATCCGCCAGGTTTCGCATTTGTAGAGTTCGAGAGCGCCAGAGATGCAGCTGATGCAGTGCGTGGCCTGGACGGACGAACATTGTGCGGTCGCAGAGCTCGTGTCGAGCTGTCCACAGGAAAATACGCTCGTTCGGGCGGTGGTGGCGGTGGTGGAGGAGGAGGCGGTGGCGGCGGTGGTGGTGGTGGTTTTGGAGGAGGACGTGACCGAGGCGGCGGTCGTAGCGACGATAAATGCTATGAATGCGGCATGCGTGGTCATTTTGCGCGCCATTGCCGCGAGCGCAAGGCTAGACAACGACGCAGGTTAGTGAGCAATTTCATTCATAATTTTGTGTTGCATGCATACGTATACACACACATACTTCTATGTGCATGGAATTTGCATATCAAATTTAAAATTGTTTTGAGCGTGGGGAGTTTCGTTGTGTTGGATTACCGCGAGTGCGTACACACCCTGATGTAAAAAATGCGCGCGAATTATTCAGTACAATAGTTCGCCAAGGTGATGGTCGAAACTATCGTATATTTATTGTTTGATAAATTAATGCCTTTATAGGCTCTCCAATTTGTGATATGAAGTGAAAAAAGATAACCCATGTTTGTAAATAAAAACCGCCAAGTTCAACTCTTCAAATAGGCATTATTCCGCGATACAATAATTGGTCGAACTTATCGATAGCTGCGTTGGTTATCGTTATTTTCTTATGCAAGAGCAACACTGACACTAGCATACGCACGTGTTTGTGGGCCTCATTTTGGATTTTTCTTTTACACGCGGCGTTAGACTGAAGAAGGTTAAGTCCGTGTTTGTTGCGAGACAAAAAATAGTTTTGACTTAAATTGATGCATTTTAACGTGCACAATGTTTGTGTTATATGAAACGCCGGCGGGCTACGCAATTTTCAAACTGCTCGATGAAAAAAAACTTGAGCAGGTCGATAATTTGTACCTGGAGTTTGAGACTCCCGAGAAGGCCAACAAATTGCTGAAATTGAAGCATTTTGAAAAATTCAATGATACCACAGAAGCGCTTTCTGCTGCTACAGCTGCTGTTGAAGGCAAAGTGTCGAAGCCGTTGAAGAAGACATTGAAAAAGCTGCTTGTCGACGACGTACAGGCATCTCTCCTGGTGGCCGATGCCAAACTGGGTACAGCCATCAAGGATAAGCTGGCGGTGCAGTGTGTATATAATACGGGCGTGCAGGAGCTAATGCGATGCATACGCCAGCAGGCAGACAGCTTGCTGGGTGGCCTGCCCAAGCGCGAGATGACTGCCATGGCCTTGGGATTGGCACATTCGCTGTCCCGCTACAAGCTGAAGTTCTCGCCGGACAAGATTGACACAATGATTGTGCAGGCGCAGTGCCTGCTCGATGACCTCGATAAGGAGCTAAACAATTATGTGATGCGCGCCCGCGAATGGTATGGCTGGCACTTCCCAGAGCTGGGCAAGCTGATCACAGACAATATTGCTTTTGTCAAGACGATCAAGCTGGTGGGCACCAGGGACAATATGGCTGCCACGGACTTGTCTGACATTCTGCCCGAGGATGTGGAGCAGCAGGTCAAGGAGGCGGCCGAAATTTCCATGGGTACCGAAATCAGCGATGAGGATGTGCTTAACATCCAATGCTTATGCGATGAGATCATTTCCATCAGCGACTACCGGACGCATCTCTATGACTACCTTAAGGCGCGCATGATGGCAATGGCGCCCAATTTGACAGTCCTGGTTGGCGACACGGTTGGCGCTCGTCTCATTGCGCACGCCGGCTCGCTGATTAATCTTGCCAAACATCCGTCGTCCACGGTGCAGATATTGGGTGCTGAGAAGGCTCTCTTCCGCGCGCTGAAAACAAAGAAAGATACGCCCAAATATGGTCTTATCTATCATGCCCAGCTGGTGGGCCAGGCGAGTCAAAAGAACAAGGGTAAAATGTCGCGTTCCCTGGCGGCAAAAGCCTCGCTGGCCACGCGCGTCGACGCCTTCGGTGAGGAAGCCTCATTCGAGCTGGGCGCCACACACAAAGTTAAGCTGGAAGCGCGGTTGCGCCTGCTGGAGGAGGGCAATCTGCGTAAATTGTCCGGCACGGGCAAGGCCAAGGCCAAGTTCGAGAAGTACCAGGCCAAGAGGTGTGTTATGGTTCTACGCTTCAATTGCCCCATTTTAGTTCAAGTAAAAAAACTCTACATGATGATACCACAAAGGTTTCGCAATTTGCTGATTCCACAGTGACGATAAACCTTGGCTGTCTGATTGAGTTTTCAACTTGTCTAATTTGTCGGCCAGCTTTTTGACTCGGTTCACATGTACTCATTTAACATTTCCCATTTTAGCGAGGTGTTTACGTATCAGCCGGAGGCCGATAACACGTTGCATGTGAAGAAACGCAAACATTCAGAAGTTGAAACGCCCGTCAAACAGGAAACAGTGAAACAGGAGCAGGAGGAAGCTGTCGCTGACGAGTCGGATACTAAAGTTGAAAAGAAAAAGAAGAAGAAGAAGAAGCAAAAGGATGAAGAAGCATCCGAAGCAGTCGAGGCGCCGCCAGCAGAGGCCGAAGAGGAAACGCCAGCGCAGCCTCCAAAGAAAAAGAAGAAATCAAAACATCAAGAACAATAAGCACTTACAATGGGGCTTATTAATAGTGCTTAGGTTTATAGTTCTTATTAGCAGTATATAGTTTTACAATCATGATTACACTTTTATTTGTTGTCTACTACATTAGAAATAAAAAATGTAATTTTCAAGGCAGAAATCAAACAATTTGACTTATTTCCTATAGTAGCATTGAACTGTGTTCAGACAAAAGATCGATCCCGATTTCTGGAAGTCTTTTGCCACACAAAACAACTATTTCTTTAAGCCAGACCCAGTCCCTAAGCATAAATAACTAAGCCCCCAATCATGGCATTTTTTTAAGCATATTTGCTAAATGCCATATTTGAGCTGTGCCCGAATGTAGCCTGCATCTTGTACTATATGAAAACATTTATAGATTCGAATATTTTCAGTACAGCGGGCATAGATTCATTAAAAATGTATTTTATTTAAATGATAAGCGTAACCCTTAACGAATGTGAAAAGCTGTGAAAATGAGCCGAGTCTCCAGGCGACAAATTGCTTTCAACTGTTTTTTATGGGTTTGCAGTTTTATTTCTTATTTGTACTATTCACTTTTTAAGCCCTTAAAGGAATGTATAAGGCATAGAAGTATTTCGATCCCTTCTGATCAGGATGATGCACTGAGTTATTGTCAAATTCATCTGTCTGCCTGTTTCTACAAAGTATTCCTTCTGTTTTGAACGATAGGAACAATCAGTTAAAACTTAAATACTTGTATGAAAAGCAGCTTATCTGTTGCTCATGATATCTTTACCAAATCGGGTAATTACAAGCTTCACTGTACTTCTTACCTAGGCTATATTCGGCTTCATTGGTTAACCATATTATATGGATCCTATAGGGATAATCGCTCCTTATTAGAACTATCTAAATGTAAGGTATTTCGAATAGCTTTCGAGCTAATTTATAATGAAATAATGAAAAGATCTTTGAATTGCTTTTGTGGAAACTTCGCAAAGCGCAGCAATATTGTTGCAATGCCAGCTTTGTGGCCCACTGTTTAATGGATAAAAGTTCGATTACAACCAAAAGCCTAAAAAAGTGCTTAAGTGCGCGATCAAGCAGAAAATTTACATCAGTCGCCGGTCGAAAAAGATGTCTTGCATCACTCGAGTCGAGTCTGCGGATTTTGCGGTGAGTTGGACCAATGTGTATTCAATATAAAAGCGCACCAGATGCCTGACCAGAGCGCTCAGTTAGACAGAATGAGGGGACAGCTGAAGTTGCTGTTGGTCTTGGGCCTGTTGCTCACATACGCGGCGGCCAAAAAGAAGGAGGCCTCCTCCGAGGAGGAGCAAGAGGCTGGCGAGAAGCATGAGAAGAAGAAATATGGCGATGAGGAGCACAAGGGCGAGCATGGTCACAAGGAGCACAAGGAGTGGGACGAGGAGGAAAAGAAACATCACGAGGAGGAGGATCACGAGCATCATTATGGCGACAAGGGCGAAAAAAAGAAAAAGGACCACGATGAGAAGGATGAGCATGGAGAGAAGCGCGAGCATGGCGCTCACAAAAAGGGTGGCAAGCATCATCAGAAGAAGAAGCACAAGAAGGGCCACAAAGAGATGGAGTACCACAAGAAGTTCAACAAGGATGAGTACTACAAGGAGAAGAAGTTCTACGATGACGAACACAAGGGCGGCCATCACAAGAAATACGGCAAGGAGCACAAGCATCACGAGGAGGATCACGGCGAGCACAAGAAGGGCGAAAAGCACGACAGCGGCAATAAGAAGGGGCACAAAAAGAGCGAGGGACACTACAAAAAGGGCCATCACGACGAGGATCATAAGAAATACCAAAAGGAGCACAAATTTGGCGACAGCTTCGAGGAGAAGGAGGAGCACGGCAAGAAGGGCGAGAAGCAACACGCTCACAAGCATCATAAAAAGAGCGGCAAAAAACACGGCTAAACAATGCCCATTGTTATAAAGCTTATCAATAAAATTCTTTAAATATACGAAAATCTTGCATTTTGTATTCCCATCTGAAAGAATATATAATTTATTAAATGAATGAATGAATTATGTTTAGATTACGAATTCTTTTAATTATAGCCTTACCTTATGTATACATTTTTAAAATCTTTCCAAATTTTTTTTGTACCCAATTGCAGAAGCAACTCGTTGAGCAGATCGCGCAGCACATCGAGACGCCGTCGCACTCGCTCCAAATCCGGCACTCGTTCGCGCAGCCGCTCCGCCGGCTCGGTGGGTCGCCGCACCGGACGGTCGCGTGAGAATGGACGGGATGAGAACGGATCGGTGTCACGCTATAGTGACCAGGAGCGCAACGGCAGCGGTGTGGTCGATTCGCCGCCGCCAGTGAAGCGACGATACGATGATGATGATGATGACAGAGATAGGGGCTCGAGATCGCCGTCACCGCCCCGTCGTGGTTCACCGTTGAGGCGTCGTGGCGATTCCTCCGTGTCGCGTTCCATGTCCAGGGATTAGCATTGGAAGGATTATCAATTTGGCCATTTACAATAGGGCTCAACCTGCTCCTTCATTCCTGAAACCAACACACAAGCACCCAAGCACCCAAATTACATTAATATGTTCGTCAGGCAGTAAATCATTTAGTTGCCCACATTCTTAGCTTAGAATATAATCTATAGTTTAATATAAATGCATACATATACTCTTTCCTCCTTTTTTTTAATCTCCTCACGATTCCCAATTCAACTGAGCAAAGCACGCCAGGCAGAACAAATTGTGCGTTTGATTATTTTGTGTCCATATCACACTACAGGAAATTCTAAAAAACAAAATCAAAAACAAAAACAACAACAACAGATCGAATCCGCCTCCAGAAAGTCGATCTAGTCATGCTGCAGATTACATTTATGTTTATCTGTCGTGAACAAATATGTTTTTGCTTTTTCATATACATATATTAAATACGTACATAAATTATATAGACACATATATCAGGCTAAGAATGTTTTGTATTCAAAAAAACAAAAAAAAAAAAAGAAGAAAAAAGTAAAGAAAAGAAAAAAATTAAAGGGCAGCTTGAATCTTTGTAGGATGTATGAATATTTCACTTGGACAACTGAAATTCTATCCTCATGTCAATTTTATGATGTAACTTATCACTGAAACCTTTTAATCTTGAACACAGAATGCCCGAAATGATATTTCACTTCAAGTTTGTAAGGTGTTTTTTTAAAAATATTCATATTAATTAAGCAAAATTATTGCAAATTCAGATTTCTCATACATTACGTCATAGTTAAGTATTATAATAATAATGTATGAATTTTTTGAAATGCGTATTTGTATGTAGCAGATGCGTAGAGAACCTACAATACATTAATATTCAATCAATAAATCAAATGCCAAAAAAAAATTGGTTGTTTTTTAAATCTATGGGGGCGGGAAAATCGACTTTTCAGATGATGCCAATTATATGAATGCCAGTCGGTTAGAAAGCTTGGCATTATTTTTGGAAATTTGTTAGTTGACTGTCAACATTACATAAAATGAAATGTTTCGCTGAAAGTCGTATCTGCGCGAAGATCTTTCGGTTAATAACGAAAATTTGAAAATACTTCAATGCTGCCAAATATCAGTCAAGGAAACCCTGTGCGTCGTGATGCCGATATAAATATATCGATATATTTAATAACACGAACAGGAGAGCTTGTACCGGCACTATCACACTGTGATCGATACTCGCATATATCGATATAAGATCAATTGCGCTTCGCATTCCTACACTTAATACTGTTCCGTGTTTTTGTTTTGTTTATTTTTTTGAACTTGATAATTATTTCAAAGCGATCAATAAAAAGTTCAGTTCAGCAATTTGGTGAAGTGTGTGGCAAACGTACTCTTATAATTGCAATGGCAATGGCTTTTCGCTTGTCAAAGCACGAAACGAGCGTCGTCAGTGCGGACGACACTTCGCTCGAGCAGCTCGACTCTAGCGTCGAGATGCGTTCGCGCTCCCCATCGCCGCTTTTATTTAATCCACGCAAATTGCGCTTCGCCGACGACGATTTTGACAAGGATCGACAGGAAAGTCCGCAACACAAAAAGAAACCGAACGATGCCGCGCGAGACATAGACATGTCCCCACCATGCCAAAAAGTACGCGCACTCCGTCTGTTCAACACACCAGCAACGCCAAAGACCATACTGCAAAAGTCAACGAGCAACTGCAGCAATCATCTATCAGCCGCCGCCGCAGCGGTGAATGCCACCAGACGCGAGGAAGTATATAAATTGATAGAACGTCCACGCTCGCTGCCTCTGCACAATCACAGAAGCATGCAACCACAGGACACGGCCAATGTCAATCCCTTCACACCAGACAGTGAGTGCTTGCAAAAGTGTATCCACATTCGATATACATATTTACATTGCTTCCCTTCAGGTCTGATGGCGCACAACAAGAAGCGTTGTCGCACCCAATTCGGACGCGAGAATCTCAATGTGAGCGCCATGCAGAGGTTTCTGCTCAGCGATCCCGGTGACGAGGATGGCGCGCTGGAGACGAACGGCATCGATCCCTCGCATGAGATACATCAGCAGGCGCCCAAACGCTTGGCATTGCATGACACAAACATCAGTCGCTTCAAGCGCGAGTTCATGCAGGTCAGCGTAATTGGTGTGGGTGAGTTTGGAGTCGTCTTTCAGTGCGTGAACCGGCTGGATGGTTGCATTTATGCCATTAAGAAGAGCAAAAAGCCTGTTGCAGGCAGTTCATTCGAGTAAGTTGCCCCGAATCCCAATTCCAAATACATCTTATTAAAATACTGATTCTTTTAGAAAGCGTGCCTTGAACGAGGTCTGGGCGCATGCCGTGCTGGGCAAGCACGATAATGTGGTGCGCTACTATTCGGCCTGGGCGGAGGACGATCATATGCTAATACAGAATGAATTTTGCGATGGCGGCAGCCTGCATGCGCGCATTCAGGAGCACTGCCTGGGCGAATCCGAGCTAAAGATATTGCTAATGCATGTGATCGAAGGCTTGCGCTACATACATTCCAATGATTTGGTGCACATGGACATCAAGCCGGAGAACATCTTCTCCACAATGAATCCCACGGCACACAAACTGGGCAGCGCTGCACAGCAGCAGGGCAGCCGAGACGATGATGGCATGGATAGCGTATATGAGGAACTGCGCAGCTCCGAGAATCTCGTTACGTACAAAATTGGTGATTTGGGGCATGTGACGTCTGTGAACGAACCGCATGTTGAGGAGGGCGATTGTCGTTACCTGCCCAAGGAAATACTGCAGGAAGACTATAGCAATCTGTTTAAGGCCGACATTTTCTCGCTGGGCATTACGCTCTTCGAGGTCGCTGGTGGTGGACCGCTGCCAAAGAACGGACCCGAGTGGCACAAGCTGCGCAATGGCGAGGTGCCTGCCATTCCCACGCTAAGCAAGGACTTTAACGAGCTGATTGCGCAAATGATGCATCCAGAGCCAAACGAGAGGCCCAGCTCCATGTCCATATACAGTCATCCGTAAGTACAAATTCATAAATAATATAGATTGATTATATGCTAATTTCGATTTATTCATGCCGACAGCATTCTGAGCGCAGTTGACTCCAAGAGTAAATTGCAGCTGGGACTGGAGCTGACGGTGGAGAAGCGCAAGAACGAGATACTAATGAACAAGTTAAGGGAAGCAAAGAAACAAATCAAACTACTCGAACAGCGTGGTGAGTGTTCTCAGATAATCTCTTAATCGTCATCATTTATAATTTAGTGTCCCTTCCATTGTAGTGTCCATGCTGGCTGCAGCAAACACATCGGAACCTTTGGACGGCCAACGCTGTCTGCGCTCCTTCACGCGACGCATGCGCACTCCGTTTGTGTCGCATGCTAAATTTAATAATCTGGGTGATCGTAACAAGAATGTCATTGCCAACGTTTGACAATATTTACAATTTCAGCTATACGCCGGCACTAAACTCTTCCGCATTCAAAGTGAACTAAGCTCACATTCTTGTTAATTTAAGCATGTATCGTAGCTATAAGTTGTTGCTAATTTCGATTTGCAAACGCCTCAAAATCGTTGAGGGTTCTGTTCCTATTCTATCAACAAAAAAAAAAAAAAGAAAAAAGAAAACAGCGGATGAATGCTCTATCTATATTTCTCAACTCAGTGAAATTTCTTGAATAAAAAAAGACGCGTAATAAGGTATTGCCTTTAATCTTAATTTTTTTTTATAAAAACCCAACATTTTTGTATATATATATATTGAGTTATAACTGTAAAATAGTATGTATTGTTTTCGTAATTAAACTATTTATTATGTTAAATTGAAGGCGAACATTTTTAAGGACATTCCATTCGCAAATAAAACGAATGCTATCCACTTAAATGGCATATCTATTTTGTTTTAATTGTTCTCAGATGTTCTACAAAGGGAGAGAACGTTCCAAGGAATGCTATTCAATTCAAATGCATTACATATGATATTTGCATTGTTCTCCGCAGTTCTACCACATTCCCGATCATTTCCTGTGTTTGAACATAACAACCCCTAAAAACGCAATGCTTCGATATGCTTAGCTATCGATATATTTTCTATACAGCGATAGGTTGCAATCGGAAAGTGTTTGATTCGATAGTTTTTTTTTGTTTTGAGATGTGCAGCGTGCAGGGTTGACACAGTGCCAGTGGCAATTACTCTATTGAGCAACACTAGAAACTCATGTGGTCACCAGTGCTCCAGACAATATTTAAACAGAATGGCCAAAATACTACAGAAATACATTAAGTTTTCCACTTCAGAGCTGGAAGAATATGCCGCCAACCCGGAATCATGCGTGCGTTGTGTTAAAACCGACCTGCACCTGGGCATGGGTGCATACGGCATGGCTAACTTCAAGCATGCGCTGCACGAGCTGCTCGTCCGCACCAAGGTGGGCATATACGATGCCAACGTGAACGGAATTGTGCTGGGCATCAAGAATATCAAGGTGCTAGGTCAAACGGCAGCGTTACGCGCCGATGATCCCATCATGCACTTGCTTATTAATGCCGACTTCTATGTGTTCAGGCCAGTGGCAGGTGCGGTGCTCCATGGCGTTGTCCGGCACATATCCAAGCATCAAATCAGTGTCATCATCTACAGAGTGTTCAACACAACCATTCGATTTACGAATAAGAAGCAAAGCAAAGAGGGCATTGTCATGGATCAGGAAATCAAGTTTCGAATCAAGGACTTTAACATAGCTAATGTCATGCCCTTCATTGAGGGCGAGCTGTTGCTTGAGGAGACTGATCCTTTGGTAAGTCCGGAAATCTATATATACAACTCTGTACACAAGTTTTAACTCGAATGATTTTTCAGAATAAAACCATCAAATTTGAAGAGGACGCGGAAGCCGAGCATACGGAAACCCACGTGGAGCTAGATGCTCTGGTTGAACTAATCAAAATGGAGCCCAGCATAGAAGCTGATACGCCGGTGCCAAAGAAAAAGGCCCAAAAGCGTAAGCAGACGGCAGAAGCTGACAAAGTTGTGGAAAAATTGAAAAAAATCAAAAAAATAAAATCAGAGCCCGTGTAGACTTAAAAAAAAACCTGCGTATTGGTACAAATTACATTTAAGATATGATATGAGCAAATATTTAGAATCTAGCACGTTGAGTTTTACAAATACAAACTGTAAATTTGTTAAATAGTTAACAACTCCAATCCCAAATCATAAAATCTTAGCTCTCTAATCGCATCAGCCGAAATAATTGCATAGCCCTATTTGGAGTCGTCTATAAAAACATATTGTATGCAAAACACTCTCATTGCTGGTCCTGCTGCTCATTCACATACTAATTGTAACTGGACTTCTCCAACGCAATAGAAGGCACACACTGGAAGCAGAAGCAATACCAACAGAAGGCAACATATTCTGAAGGAACAGCTGTGGTTAACAAGAAACTTATCACAATCTCACTTTCTTAATACGCTGACAAATACGTTTAACTACTTTTGTAACGCCTTAACGTCTCCTCGGTATGTGCCATGTGTTCCGAGAACAGAATGTTATTAGTTATTGCTGCACTGTTGATTCGTCCTCGGTCTGGATAATATCAGGATACCATTGTTGTCAGATTTGTCCCAGCTAGGTCACAGCCTGCGCGCCCAGTTCATCGTCGTCATTATACGCCAGGCGACCTGTTGCTAAGCTGATAAAGCTGGTAATCTAATCCTTGCGACAATAGTTTCTTAGTCTGAGAATTGTATATATCCGGCTACAATCTACAACATGCATTCTAAATCTATGGATTAATTGCTAAAAATAGAAATAGCAAATTTGTACACTGTGCTTATAATTCGCAACTGGTTAAGGCTAAGACTTAGTTTGGGCAGTAGAATAA